GACTCCCAACGCATCTCTTCGCCTTCACCGCAGCCTCTTGCTTCTCAACCGTGAAAACGAAGTACAGTGTCAATAACGACGTAGGGGTTGATGAAACAAAGTTGTAACTTTCGTGCCCGTGCTTAATTTGTGTTTTTGATGATTTAACTTCTTTAAAAAATTTGGCCATGCCTCGCACCCCCCCCCCTCCCCCCCCAGAAAGGGCATCTCGTACACCAGGTTAAGAACCACTGCTCTGCAGGAACGGGGCGGATACCGATGGAGCAGCTCATCACCATTATTATTACTTGACAGCAGCACGCAGTTTATAGTTCGTCTGTGATTGGAAACAATCCACGACGTGCCGTTTCCTTTGAATTCTGAGCCCCTTCCCTGCAGGTCACGTGCGTGCACTCATCGAACCGTAGGGGGCGTTGAGGTAAAGGTGCAGCCCTGCAATTTCTCACTCCGCAGACCTAAAACACGCCGGAGAGCAAGGCAATGTAATCGTTCACGGATGCATTTGTAGACAATTTCACTGGTAATTTACGACACTAATGTCACTCACTACTGCGGTGTCATTTCACCGTAAAACTAAACTATCTTTAATTTTACCAGGTAAGGCCCAGTGAGCTTTACAGCTCGTTTCCAGAAACGACCGGGCCGCAAATGATATCTCAAGCAAGTGGCTTATCACGTGGAGATTTGTCGCAGCCACATGGCAACACGTGACGTTGATTCTAAATGTGGAGGGGAAAAAACGGAGAACCCGGAGAAAAATCCACGCGGCCACGGGGAGAAGAGACACGCAGACTCTAAATATACAGCAGGCGTCAGGGTCGGCATCGAACCCACGACCTCCTGCATACCAGGCGAGGTAGGTAACATTTCCTGGCCACCGTGGCGAGAGACCACCACGCGGAGTAGCAAGCCCAGCTCATGAGTGCGGCCCCAGGCGGGCGAGGTGGCATATGGTGGCGCAGCAGCAGCAAGTGATTTCACGCCAACTGCTCCCCTGCCCAGGTGTTGTGTTGGAGTCAGCGATCAACACGGTCGTCACAGTGCTGGACTAGCATTCGTTACACAGTCCGTGTAAATGCGCTCAGCGGTGCCAGTCTAGCGCCCCCAACACGCGCCACTCGCCACTGACGGCGACGTCCCCACGGCGCTTGTGCCAGGCTGTGTGCACTTTGAGGCCACCACGTGAAGTTGTCGAAGGCCTCGCTGCTGACAGGTCACGGTGACAGACCCAGGCAGGTACCGTGGGTTGGCTGACCGCGATGACTGGCAGATCCACCAGCTGCAGCCCCCATGATGCCACACACACGCAGGTGCTTACCGGGTGCCATTTAACAACGCTGGGTCAAGACGAGTTGGCTTTTGTTTTGACTTTGCGATCATTGAAGGGGTTTTCTGGTACTCAACAGCTGCTATACAGTAACTATTCTTGCGCCTGTTTATAAACCTTCCAGTGACCTTCCTGAACAATGTCTACACACGTGCGATTAGAGGGGCATGTTTCTAATTACTTAATATTGCTTTAATTTAAACTAAAATAAACTAAAACAATTTTTTTATTTTAGCAGGTAAGGCCCACTGAGCTGTATAGCTTTTTTTCAGAAGCGATCTGGCCACAAACGATAGCTCAACAAAGTGGCTTATCACGTGGAAATTTCTAGCAGCAGTCAAATACTCTAAAATGTGCGTCGATTCTAAATCTGGAGGGGAAAACCGGAATTCCCGGAGAAAATCCACACCACCGTGGAGAGAGAGAGAGAGACACACACGGAAACTTCACATATACAGCAGGCGCCAGGGTCGGGATCGAACTCACCACCTCGTGTATACCAGGCGAGGTATGGCCATTTCCCAAAACGCCGCCCGTTAAACATCTTTTTTTAAGGCCACGCCACTAACGTGGCGAGTGTTACTGTTTGGGCACATGCATCGCGACCCGTGCGGCATCACTGAACGACGTCGTATTCACTTAACAGCGGCTCGCAACAAACGTCCGCAACGAATACTCTGAACCCGTCCTGTCAATCCCCTTGTTCGCGAGCTGCCGCACACTCACAGTCTTTACATTGGGGAAAGCCTCGGCCGAGTCTTTGCTTCTCACGCGGGGTCCTGCTGCTGCTGCTGCTGCATTGGGCGCGTTGGTCCACGAATGGCACCGCGTGAGAGTTTCGCCACCACACCCGCATACAACCCATCAACGCACGCGTTGGGTGGTAGGGGAAGCACTTGGACCTCCGCACAGATGGATTCAAGAATCCCCAGCTGTGCTACCCTCCGGCCACCTTGCACGCGTACGCACACCCGCAGTGTTGTTGAACGCGCTCGTTTGAGGAGTTCGAGTGGGCCGAGCCAAGCCGAGTGTGCGAGGGGAAGCAGCGGTCTTCCGTGGCACCTATCCCCGGTGAAGACCGACTCACTGCACCGTCTGACAAAGACAACGAGCGTCGCGCACCACAGCCCTGCGCGCGTACACGAAGGCGCACATAGACACGATTACACGATCACACACACTCGTACAGCATGGGTTCTGGTGCCGATGGCGAACACCTCTTAAGGCTGGCAAGAAGAAGGTAGGGGGGGGGGTGATGCTGTAGCTCGGGCCCGGCCACCTTTGCTTCTCTCCAGTGCACACTACACCAGGTGCTAATTTAAGGCCGAGTTAACCTAGGGGGAGGTCCACGAGAAGGTACAGATACCACTTGGCGCCGATGTCGAGCATCACGTCTGGGAGTCGAACCCGGGTATGCTGGGTCCGTACCGCGGTGCCTGCCACTGCAACTGTGCGGAGGAGGGCAGCAACCACAGAGGAGGGCATCAACCACGGAGGAGGGCGTCAACCACGGAGGTCACTCCAACCTCTCAGGGTTGCTCAGCGACAACCGCTAACCCGGTAACCGCTTCCAGCACGATCCAATTAGCGCGTTTGGGCTACGTACCGTGGGAAAGAAATTGAACGTACGTACATACGTAGACTCACAAAGTCACTCACATAGTCACTCACCCACCGACACACTCACCCATACTCCGTTTAGCACTATTGGCTATGTACGGTGCGAAAGAAGTTGAACGTACGTACATACGTAGACTCACAAAGTCACTCACACAGTCACTCACCCACCCACACACTCCCCATACTCCGTTTAGCACTATTGGCTATGTACGGTGCGAAAGAAGTTGAACGTACGTACATACGTAGACTCACAAAGTCACTCACACAGTCACTCACCCACCCACACACTCACCCATACTCCGTTAAGCACTATTGGCTATGTACGGTGCGAAAGAAGTTCAACTGTACGCACGTACGTATCGCGGAACCTGGCCCGATTGGCGCACACGCGCGGACCGCACAGCGGCCTAGGTCACCGCGTGGCTCGCTCGTGCACGCGCCAATTCTGGCGGGGAGCTCCTCCGCTCGAGGGAGCTCCTCCGCTCGGGGGAGCTCCTCCGCTCGAGGGAGCTCCTCCGCTCGGGGGAGCTCCTCCGCTCGGGGGAGCTCTTCCGCTCGGAGGAGCTCCTCCGCTCGGGGAAGCTCCTCCGCTCGAGGGAGCTCCTCCGCTCGGGGGAGCTCCTCCGCTCGGGGGAGCTCCTCCGCTCGAGGGAGCTCTGTCTAGGAGGGTGGCCAGCCGACCTCCTCCACGAACCTTGGAAAGGGTGGGGGCCGGGGGGGGGGCACACCCACACTTTATCCCCACCGGACACACGACCCAGGGATCTACCGCGATGAACCCGTTCACGCTGCAGAGCGGACAGAAGCGGTGACGGGAGGGAGGGGGTGGGGGTGGATTCCAGTGCGTTGACCATTACACAGTTAAGAGGTCACAGACGTTACTTTTACAGCTGTGGACATTGGCTGGCGTCGTGACCAAGCGGTAACCGATTGTTCGCGAGTTCGTTTCACGTGGTTGGTCAACAGCAACGCAAAGCGCAATTTTTAACCACCCATACTCGAATCCACAGCGGCCTTGCCCTCGGCTCTCCGGGGTTGGCACCGTCCTGCCCCCTCCTCCTGACGGGCGAAGTTTAGGACCGTGGCTCACAGGGCCGCAGTGGCTGCATTGGATTACGCGGTCCAGGCCTCCCCGGAGACCCTGGGCTGACGCGAGTCGTTTCTGGCGAGCCGAGTTGAAAGCGACATGCCCGCTCCCACCGTCCCCAACATCCCAAGTCGGGGAATGCGGAGGCCTCACCCGCAGCCTGCACTCGGGAGGTTCGAAGGGCCGCGTGGCGCCGCGAGGACGAGTGGCGGTCGCGGGTTGCCGAGTTGGTGGTGGAAAGAGCCTCGGCATCCCGTGAATTGCCACCAGAACCCACATGGAGACCAGGACAAAGATCCCACCCCCCCCATAGCCATGTGGGCTGTTGGGAAAGTGCTGTTCACGAGCACTCACAAAGGTTAACGTGGCGCACAAGGGTGTGGTGAGACCAGCACCACATCCAGCTACCTTTGTCTTCCCATTTCTGATGTTTACTACACACCACACCCAGTACTCAGTTAAGGCTGAGTCGACCTCGGGAGGAGGCCCAGGAGCGGTTCAAATAACCAAAACGGACTTTCACCACGGCTGGGAATTTAATTTGGGTTGCCGGGTTCGTAGCCCGGAGCGCTAACCGCTGCATGACAGCTCTCTAAATTATTCACACGAACAAAGATCCCCCATGTAGCCTTAACAGACTGTTGGGGCAAGTGCTGTTAGCGTGCACCTATGAAGGCCGTAACGGCACACGTGGGGGTGGGTGGCCAGCACTACGCCCGGCCGGCCGCCTTTGTCTCCCTAGTGGCGATGTTTACTAAACACCGCACCAGGTACTCATTTGAGGCTGAGTCGACCTAGGGAAGGTCCAGGACCGGTGCAAATAATCGTCGCTGGTGTTGGCAGTGAGCGGGAATCGAACTCGGGCCGCTGAGTTCACTGCGCAGCGCGCTAACCGCTATACGACCGCTCCCCCTATTATTCACACACACACTCTCTCAAACACGTAATTACGGACACATTTTTTTTAACTCATCATCACCACCGCCACCACAGTTCTTTCACTACTCATGGGAGAGAGATCCACAATTCTCCAACGTGTTTTCGGGGGTTGCGCTCTTCGGCACAATGTCCGACGTTTCGCTCCACGTGCTGGAACTCAACTCGGCTTCCGGTGCGAAACGTCGGACACATCGCGCCGTGGATCGACACGCGGGCACGACCCGAAAAAGACACACGCACACACACGCACGCGCACACACACGCACGCGCACTCACACGCACGCGCGCGGGCAGGCGCGCGGGATGCCTTCCCCATTCAGCACGGCCAGCTACGTACGGTGCGAAAGAAAGGAACGTACGCACGGCAACATGACCGCGAAGAGCCACGGCCATACGAGCGGATGCAGAAACAAGACCATTTCCTTTTTCTTCCGTTCCTCCTTCGCCTAAAAGCGTCGCCGTTTGATCTCCGCCTCGTACTCGTCGCCGGGCGGCGCCGCGCCCATCGCGGGGCCCCGGCCCGGCCCCGCGTAGCGGCTCGCGTCCGACTCGTGGGCGTGGCCGCGGCCGTCCGTGCCGGCTGCGGGGCCCGCGTCCCGGTACGGATCGTACTGGGAGAGGCTCATGAGTCCGGCGACGCCGAGGGCCACGGCGCTGGTCTGCGCGAAGCCGGCCTGCGGGAGACCGCACGGCCGCAGGGAGGGGGCGGGGGGGGGGGGGGTGCGACTTGAGCGACCGCACGGCGGTTTTGCATCGGCGGCTCACCGCTTCAGGTCGCGGCACGGGCAGTGAGAATGCCGCTTGCCATCTTCCACTCCGACGACAACAACGACAACAATGACAATAACACCGACGACAACACCGACAACAACGACAACAAAGACAACAATGACAATAACACCGACGACAACACCGACAACACCGACAACACCGACAACAACGACAACAACACCGACAACAACGACAACAACGACAACAACGACAACACCGACAACAACGACAACAACACCGACAACAACGACAACAACACCGACAACAACGACAACAATGACAACAACCACAACAACCACAACAACACCGACAACACCGACAACAATGACAACAACGACAACAACACCGACAACAACGACAACAACACCGACAACACCGACAACAACGACAACAATGACAACAACACCGACAACAACGACAACAACACCGACAACAACGACAACAACACCGACAACAACGACAACAACACCGACAACACCGACAACAACGACAACAACGACAACAACAACGACAACAACACCGACAACAACGACAACACCGACAACACCGACAACAACGACAACAACAACGACAACAACGACAACAACAACGACAACAACGACAACAACACCGACAACAACGACAAGACCGACAACAACACCGACAACAACGACAACAACGACAACAACACCGACAACAACGACAACAACACCGACAACAACGACAACAACGACAACAACACCGACAACACCGACAACAACGACAACAACAACGACAACAACACCGACAACAACGACAACAACAACGACAACAACACCGACAACAACGACAACAACACCGACAACAACGACAACAACGACAACAACGACAACACCGACAACAACGACAACAACACCGACAACAACGACAACAACACCGACAACAACGACAACAATGACAACAACCACAACAACCACAACAACACCGACAACACCGACAACAATGACAACAACGACAACAACACCGACAACAACGACAACAACACCGACAACACCGACAACAACGACAACAATGACAACAACACCGACAACAACGACAACAACACCGACAACAACGACAACAACACCGACAACAACGACAACAACACCGACAACACCGACAACAACGACAACAACGACAACAACAACAACAACAACACCGACAACAACGACAACACCGACAACACCGACAACAACGACAACAACAACGACAACAACGACAACAACAACGACAACAACGACAACAACACCGACAACAACGACAAGACCGACAACAACGACAACAACACCGACAACAACGACAACAACGACAACAACACCGACAACAACGACAACAACACCGACAACAACGACAACAATGACAACAACACCGACAACACCGACAACAACGACAACAACAACGACAACAACACCGACAACAACGACAACAACAACGACAACAACACCGACAACAACGACAACACCGACAACACCGACAACAACGACAACAACACCGACAACAACGACAACACCGACAACACCGACAACAACGACAACAACGACAACACCGACAACAACGAAAACAACACCGACAACAACGACAACAACACCGACAACAACTACAACAATGACAACAACGACAACACCGACAACAACACCGACAACAACGACAACAACACCGACAACAACGACAACAACGACAACAACGACAACACCGACAACAACACCGACAACAACACCGACAACGACAACAACGACAACAACCACAACAACCACAACAACCACAACAACACCGACAACACCGACAACAATGACAACAACGACAACAACACCGACAACAACGACAACAACACCGACAACACCGACAACAACGACAACAACGACAACAACACCGACAACAACGACAACAACACCGACAACAACGACAACAACACCGACAACGACAACAACACCGACAACACCGACAACACCGACAACAACGACAACAACAACGACAACAACGACAACAACACCGACAACAACGACAACACCGACAACACCGACAACAGCGACAACAACACCGACAACAACGACAACAACAACGACAACGACAACAACACCGACAACAACGACAACACCGACAACAACGACAACAACACCGACAACAACGACAACAACACCGACAACAACGACAACACCGACAACAACGAAAACAACACCGACAACAACGACAACAACACCGACAACAACGACAACACCGACAACAACACCGACAACAACGACAACAACAACGACAACAACGACAACAACGACAACAACCACAACAACGACAACAACACCGACAACAACGACAACAACACCGACAACAACGACAACAACACCGACAACGACACCGACAACACCGACAACAACGACAACAACGACAACAACAACGACAACAACGACAACAACACCGACAACAACGACAACACCGACAACACCGACAACAGCGACAACAACGACAACGACAACAACACCGACAACAACGACAACACCGACAACAACGACAACAACACCGACAACAACGACAACAACAACAACACCGACAACAACGACAACACCGACAACAACGACAACAACACCGACAACACCGACAACAACGACAACACCGACAACAACGACAACAACACCGACAACAACGACAACAACGACAACAACACCGACAACACCGACAACAACGACAACAACGACAACAACGACAACAACGACAACAACACCGACAACAACGACAACACCGACAACACCGACAACAACGACAACAACACCGACAACGACAACAACAACGACAACAACACCGACAACAACAACACCGACAACAACGACAACAACACCGACAACAACCACAACAACCACAACAACACCGACAACGACAACACCGACAACAACACCGACAACGACAACGACAACACCGACAACACCGACGACAACAACGACAACAACGACAACAACCACAACAACCGACGGCGATGTCGCCCCGCGCCTCTGATGAGCATGGTTGGGCTACGTACAAAGTTCGAGGTACGTGCCAAACCGCCGCCCGTGCCAGGCCAGGTGCACTTCGAGGCCACTCGCGAAGTATTGGGTGGCTCGGACGGCAGGAGGTCACGGGACACCATTCGCCACTAAGTGGCGGTGACATCAGCACGGTGCTTGTGCCAGGCCATGTGCACATTAAGGACACGTGAAGTGTCAAACGTCCTCTGGCAGGTCATGGGACAGACCCAGGTGCCATGGGTTGACTGAGATGGCTGGCGGATACACCAGCTGTGCCCCCTACTGTGCCAACTTGCTGTGTTTTAGCCACCCGGCGCTCCGCTGGTTGTTGTGAGCGTTGCTCCTCTGCCCTCCATTGTTGCTGAAGGGTGATTGCTTGCAACTGGCGAGTAGCATCCTTCACGAGCCTCCTCCATAAAGGTCGATCTTGACGCCGCTGGTACCAGTCATTGGCAAGTCCACCCAGTACAACATCACTCCATCTCTTCTCTAGCCATGCCGTGCCCATTTAGCCTTCTCTATCCGGGTGAACAAAAGCGGTTTCGGCATGCGGTGGCTGGGCATCCGGACTACATGACCCAGAAAATGCAGCCTTGCCTGCTGGAGCTCACTGATGGGACTTTGTCCAGATCTTTCAAGGATTTGTGAGCTCCTCACACATACCAGCCTGGTTAAACTCAAGATGGATCGTAGGCATGCCAGCCTAATTATTTATAACTGGCAAAGATGTACCATTAGGGGGGTCAACGTTTCGCAAGGATAGAGAAGGGAGGGCATGACCGTGGCCAAGAAGACTAAAAACTTCGTGAAGAAGAACAGACCAGGTAGCTTCCACACAGCATTACACAGCCGATGAAAAGATAATGCCGTTCGAATGATTCGGAGACCTCTGCTGTCAAACCCGAGCTGGTCATAGAGCACACTACCCAGGTATGGAAAACGCTACACTCTCTCCACATCTGCCCCATCAACAATGGGGAGGTCAGGGGGTAGAGGATTTGATGGCACAAAATACCCAGGCAGGTGCTTAGTTTTGGTGGGGCTGATGGTAAGGCCCAACCTCTTAGTGGCAAGCTCCAGGTTCAGCAGCAGCGCCTCCAATTCCTCCTCTGAGTGAGCAGCAATCACCAGATCATCAGCGTACATAACGTGGTTGACCAATATGTAGCCATCCCTTGACCGCACCCGGGCATCGATCAGCCTCCCATTATATCTGTACCAGATGTAAATTCCTCCGGTACAGCCAAAGAAGGCTTCACAAACTTCTAGGTGAACAGGGAATGGCTCCGACTCCTGGCCACCTAGTTTTACCCGGGCCTGCCCATTATCATGTGTGTCAGGATAGTGAGCAGAGATTCAGGGACTCTGAAAGCACGAAGAACAACCCAGAGCCCAGGCCTACTGATGGTATCATAGGCCTTGACCAGGTCAAAAAAGCAGAGATGTAGATCATGTTGGAATCCCCTACATCTCTGCTGTAACAAAACAAATATGGCATCTGTGCAGAACCACCCTGGCCTGAAACCACATTGGGGCTCTGCAAGCCTCTCCTCAGCGTGCCTGGCAAGGCGATATTGAATAATCCTTGCCAGGACCTTTCCTGACACACTGAGGAGTGAGGTGTCCCTGTAGTTGTTACAGACTGTGCGGTCCCCCTTCTGAAAGAGGGGGACCACCAGGACATCCTTCCAATCCTGCCTAACCCGTCCAGTGGTCTAGACTGTTGTTATGATGTCATGTAGGGCAGTCTGTGCACAAACGCCACCCTCCCTCAGCATTTCGCTAGGGAGATCGTCTCTGCCCGGCCCTTTTCCGGGTCTCAGACTCTGGATCGCCTTCCGTACTTCCTCAGCCGATGGCTTCTTCAGCCAGCCACTCACAGGGGGTGACTAATTTTCTTCCAATATATGCTCGTGCACACACTCAATGCTCGCAGACCTCACCCCCTCGCCTCGCCTCACACAAACCCCACACGCGCTCGCCTCCCCGCATCTCTCTCAAACCCACCAGCGCCATCGATTCCGGGATGCCGGCCCAGAGCCTGTCGTCTCCAACACCGACGGCACCCCCGTGGCCCCCGTGGCCCCCGTGGCCCCCGTGGAGTCTCCTCTGCTCCGGAGCCATCAGCAGCAGCTGCCCCAGGTCCGAGCGCTGTTGGTGCGCGGAGGACAAGGGCAGCTCCATGTCGCTCCTGTGCGGCTCCGCGTGCTGCGCTTGCTGCGTGCTGTGCTGCTGCGTGCTGTGCTGCTGCGTGCTGTGCTGCTGCGTGCTGTGCTGCTGCGTGCTGTGCTGCTGCATGCTGTGCTGCTGCGCTTGTTCCATGTGCTGCTCTCCGTGTTGCGCCCCCTGCTGTGCACCAAGCTGCGCTGCGTGCTGCTCCGCGTGCTGCTGCTGCGCGGTCCGAGCGGCGTGCTGCTCCGCATGGGCCGCGCGAGCGCCGTGCACGCTGCGGGAGATGCGTTCCGCCTGCGAGTCTTGCACGGAGCGATCTGGGTGCTGCGAGTGCTGCGTGTGCTGCGTGTGTTGCGTGTGTTGCGTGTGCTGCTGCGTGTGCTGCTGCTGCTGCTGCTGCGGGTGCTGCGTGTGCTGCGGGTGCTGCGGGTGCTGCTGCTGCTGCGGGTGCGAAGGAAGCTCTGAGTATTCCCTGTGCTGCGTTGTGTGCTGCATTGTGTGCTGCTGCGCTGCGTGCTGCGCGAGCTGCGTCTGCTGCGTGTACTGCGAATGCTGAGTGTGCTGCTGCGCCTGCTGCGCTGCTGCGTGCTGCATGTGCTGCTGCGCTGCATGCTGCGTCTGTGCGGAGATGGGCGTGGTGCGTGTCGAGTGAGCCGACTCCGATTTGTACGGTAGAGGAGAGGAGTAAGGGTCTGTGCGTGCACGGGGAAGAGAGCGGGGAAAGAGAGAATCAGCTGCAGCAGAAAAATCTGCAAGAGCGGGCGCAGTACTGTCATGAACAGCGACTGATGATGATGCCATCATCATCAGTCGCAACAATAAAAGCTGCAGTTTTGTCGTCATCGTCGTCATCATCATCATCATAATCGCCACAATCAGCAGTCGTGGAGACTTTATCAAAAGCGACATCATCACCCAAAACGGCAGCAGTTTCATCATCTTCCTACTCAGCGGTGGTCAAGGCATCGTCATCGTCAGGAGGAGCATTCACAGGGATCATCGGTGAGCGTCGCCACTCTTACTCGCTCCCTCCGTTTCCAGTTCCGTTCCAGGGCGTTTATCCGTGACGGGATGCTGCGCCTGGAAATCAAAGCACAAAGATGCCCATGAGCCCGGTATACAGAGTGTCAGGACATGCGCTCCTAGCCAGCACCTGTGCTAGACGCTGGGCTAAACAATGAAGTGGAAGCTGGGCTCGACGCATGGCTAGACACCTGACCAGACCATGTGGCTAGACAACTGACTAGACCGTGAGCTAGACACCTGACTAGACAGTGAGCTAGACACCTGACTAGACCGCGAGCTAGACACCTGACTAGACCGTGAGCTAGACACCTGACTAGACCGTGAGCTAGACACCTGACCAGACCGTGAGCTAGACACCTGACTAGACCACGAGCTAGACACCTGACTAGACCGTGAGCTAGACACCTGACTAGACCGTGAGCTAGACACCTGACTAGACCGTGAGCTAGACACCTGACTAGACCGTGAGCTAGACACCGGACTAGACCGCGAGCTAGACACCTGACTAGACCGTGAGCTAGACACCTGACTAGACCGTGAGCTAGATACCTGACTAGACCACGAGCTAGACACCTGACTAGACCGTGAGCTAGACACCTGACTAGACCACGAGCTAGACACCTGACTAGACCATGAGCTAGACACCTGATTAGACCGTGAGCTAGACACCTGATTAGACCGTGAGCTAGACATCTCACTAGACCATGAGCTAGACACCTGACTAGACCGTGAGATAGACACCAGACTAGACCATGAGTTAAGACAACTGACTAGACCGTGAGCTAGACACCTGACTAGACCGTGAGCTAGACACCTGACTAGACCACGAGCTAAATACCTGAATAGACCGCAAGCTAGACACCTGACTAGACCGTGAGCTAGACACCTGACTAGACCACGAGCTAGACACCTGACTAGACTATGAGCTAGACACCTGACTAGACCGTGAGCTAGACACCTGACTAGACCACGAGCTAGATACCTGACTAGACCGCAAGCTAGACACCTGACTAGACTGCGAGCTAGACACCTGACTAGACTGTGAGCTAGACACCTGACTAGACCGTGAGCTAGACACCTGACTAGACCATGAGCTAGACACCTGACTAGACCGTGAGATAGACACCAGACTAGACCATGAGTTAAGACAACTGACTAGACCGTGAGCTAGACACCTGACTAGACCGTGAGCTAGACACCTGACTAGACCACGAGCTAAATACCTGAATAGACCGCAAGCTAGACACCTGACTAGACCGTGAGCTAGACACCTGACTAGACCACGAGCTAGACACCTGACTAGACTATGAGCTAGACACCTGACTAGACCGTGAGCTAGACACCTGACTAGACCACGAGCTAGATACCTGACTAGACCGCAAGCTAGACACCTGACTAGACTGCGAGCTAGACACCTGACTAGACTGTGAGCTAGACACCTGACTAGACCGTGAGCTAGACACCTGACTAGACCGCGAGCTAGACACCTGACTAGACCGCGAGCTAGACACCTGACTAGACAGTGAGCTACACACCTGACTAGACCGTGAGCTAGACACCTGACTAGACCGTGAGCTAGACACCTGACTAGACCGCGAGCTAGACACCTGACTAGACCGCGAGCTAGATACCTGACTAGACCGTGAGGTAGACACCTGACTAGACCGCGAGCTAGACACCTGACTAGACCGTGAGCTAGACAGCTGACAAGACTGTGAGCTAGACACCTGACTAGACCACGAGCTAGACACCTGACTAGACCGTGAGCTAGACACCTGACTAGACCGTGAGCTAGACACCTGACTAGAGCGCGAGCTAGACACCTGACTAGACCGCGAGCTAGACACCTGACTAGACCGTGAGCTAGACACCTGACTAGACGGCGAGATAGACACCTGACTAGACCGTGAGCTAGACACCTGACTAGACCACGAGCTAGACACCTGACTAGACCGCGAGCTAGACACCTGACTAGACCGCGAGCTAGATACCTGACTAGACCGTGAGGTAGACACCTGAATAGACCGTGAGCTAGACACCTGACTAGACCGTGAGCTAGACACCTGACTAGACCGCGAGCTAGATACCTGACTAGACCGTGAGCTAGACACCTGACTAGACCGTGAGCTAGACACCTGACTAGACCGTGAGCTAGACACCTGACTAGACCGTGAGCTAGACACCTGACTAGACCGTGAGCTAGACACCTGACTAGACCGTGAGCTAGACACCTGACTAGACCATGAGTTAGACACCTGACTAGACTGTGAGGTAGACACCTGACTAGACCGTGAGCTAGACACCTGACTATACCGTGAGCTAGACACCTGACTAGACCGTGAGCTAGACACCTGACTAGACCACGAGCTAGACAACTGACTAGACCGTGAGGTAGACACCTGAATAGACCGCGAGATAGACACCTGACTAGACCGTGAGCTAGACACCTGACTAGACCACGAGCTAGACACCTGACTAGACCGCGAGATAGACACCTGACTAGACCGTGAGCTAGACACCTGATTAGACCGTGAGCTAGACACCTGACTAGACCGCGAGCTAGACACCTGACTAGACCGTGAGCTAGACACCTGACTAGACCACGAGCAAGACACCTGACTAGACCGTGAGCTAGACACCTGACTAGACCGGGAGCTAGACACCTGACTAGACCGTGAGCTAGACACCTGACTAGACCGTGAGCTAGATACCTGACTAGACCGTGAGCTAGACACCTGACTAGACCGTGAGCTAGACACCTGACTAGACTGTGAGGTAGACACCTGACTAGACCGTGAGCTAGACACCTGACTAGACCATGAGTTAGACACCTGACTAGACTGTGAGGTAGACACCTGACTAGACCGTGAGCTAGACACCTGACTATACCGTGAGCTAGACACCTGACTAGACCGTGAGCTAGACACCTGACTATACCACGAGCTAGACACCTGACTAGACCGTGAGCTAGATACCTGACTAGACCGTGAGATAGACACCTGACTAGACCGTGAGCTAGACACCTGCCTAGACCGTGAGCTAGACACCTGACTAGACCGTGAGCTAGACACCTGACTAGACCGTTAGCTAGACACCTGACTAGACCGTGAGCTAGACACCTGACTAGACCGTGAGCTAGACACCTGACTAGACCGTGAGCTAGACACCTGACTAGACCGTGAGCTAGACACCTGACTAGACCGTGAGCTAGACACCTGACTAGACCGCGAGCTAGACACCTGACTAGACCGTGAGCTAGATACCTGACTAGACCGTGAGCTAGACACCTGACTAGACCGCGAGCTAGACACCTGACTAGACCGCGAGCTAGATAGCTGACTAGACCGTGAGGTAGACACCTGAATAGACCGCGAGCTAGACACCTGACTAGACTGTGAGCTAGACACCTGACTAGACCGTGAGCTAGACACCTGACTAGACCGTGAGCTAGACACCTGACTAGACCGTGAGCTAGACACATGACTAGACCGCGAGCTAGACACCTGACTAGACCATGAGCTAGACACCTGACTAGACCGTGAGCTAGACACCTGACTAGACCGTGAGCTAGACACATGACTAGACCGTGAGCTAGACACCTGACTAGACCACGAGCAAGACACCTGACTAGACCGTGAGCTAGACACCTGACTAGACCGGGAGCTAGACACCTGACTAGACCGTGAGCTAGACACCTGACTAGACCGTGAGCTAGATACCTGACTAGACCGTGAGCTAGACACCTGACTAGACCGTGAGCTAGACACCTGACTAGACTGTGAGGTAGACACCTGACTAGACCGTGAGCTAGACACCTGACTAGACCATGAGTTAGACACCTGACTAGACTGTGAGGTAGACACCTGACTAGACCGTGAGCTAGACACCTGACTAGACCGTGAGCTAGACACCTGACTAGACTGGGAGCTAGACACCTGACTAGACCGTGAGCTAGACACCTGACTAGACCGTGAGCTAGACACCTGACTAGACCGTGAGCTAGACACCTGAATAGACCGCGAGCTAGACACCTGACTAGACCGTGAGCTAGACACCTGACTAGACCGTGAGCTAGACACCTGACTAGACCGCGAGCTAGACACCTGACTAGACCGCGAGCTAGATAGCTGACTAGACCGTGAGGTAGACACCTGAATAGACCGCGAGCTAGACACCTGACTAGACCGTGAGCTAGACACCTGACTAGACCGTGAGCTAGACACCTGACTAGACCGTGAGCTAGACACCTGACTAGACCGTGAGCTAGACACATGACTAGACCGCGAGCTAGACACCTGACTAGACCATGAGCTAGACACCTGACTAGACCGTGAGCTAGACACCTGACTAGACCGTGAGCTAGACACATGACTAGACCGTGAGCTAGACACATGACTAGACCGCGAGCTAGACACCTGACTAGACCGTGAGCTAGACACCTGACTAGATGGCGAGATAGACACCTGACTAGACCGCGAGATAGACACCTGACTAGACCGTGAGCTAGACACCTGACTAGACCACGAGCTAGACACCTGACTAGACCGCGAGATAGACACCTGACTAGACCTTGAGCTAGACACCTGACTAGACCGTGAGCTAGACACCTGACTAGACCGCGAGCTAGACACCTGACTAGACCGTGAGGTAGACACCTGACTAGACCGTGAGCTAGACACCTGACTAGACCGTGAGCTAGACACCTGACTAGACCGTGAGCTAGATACCTGACTAGACCGTGAGCTAGACACCTGACTAGACCGTGAGCTAGACACCTGACTAGACTGTGAGGTAGACACCTGACTAGACCGTGAGCTAGACACCTGACTAGACCACGAGCTAGACACCTGACTAGACCGCGAGATAGACACCTGACAAGACCGTGAGCTAGACACCTGACTAGACCGTGAGCTAGACACCTGACTAGACCGCGAGCTAGACACCTGACTAGACCGTGAGGTAGACACCTGACTAGACCGTGAGCTAGACACCTGACTAGACCATGAGTTAAGACAACTGACTAGACCGTGAGCTAGACACCTGACTAGACCGTGAGCTAGACACCTGACTAGACCACGAGCTAGATACCTGACTAGACCGCAAGCTAGACACCTGACTAGACCGTGAGCTAGACACCTGACTAGACCATGAGCTAGACACCTGACTAGACCGTGAGTTAGACACCTGACTAGACCACAAGCTAGATACCTGACTAGACCGCAAGCTAGACACCTGACTAGACTGCGAGCTAGACACCTGACTAGACCGCGAGCTAGATACCTGACTAGACCGTGAGGTAGACACCTGAATAGACCGTGAGCTAGACACCTGACTAGACCGTGAGCTAGACACCTGACTAGACCGCGAGCTAGATACCTGACTAGACCGTGAGCTAGACACCTGACTAGACCGTGAGCTAGACACCTGACTAGACCGTGAGCTAGACACCTGACTAGACCGTGAGCTAGACACCTGACTAGACCGCGAGCTAGATACCTGACTAGACCGTGAGCTAGACACCTGACTAGACCGTGAGCTAGACACCTGACTAGACCGTGAGCTAGACACCTGACTAGACCGTGAGCTAGACACCTGACTAGACCATGAGTTAGACACCTGACTAGACTGTGAGGTAGACACCTGACTAGACCGTGAGCTAGACACCTGACTATACCGTGAGCTAGACACCTGACTAGACCGTGAGCTAGACACCTGACTAGACCGCGAGCTAGACACCTGACTAGACCGCGAGCTAGACACCTGACTAGACCGTGAGCTAGATACCTGACTAGACCACGAGCTAGACACCTGACTAGACCGTGAGCTAGATAACTGACTAGACCGTGAGCTAGACACCTGACTAGACCGTGAGCTAGACACCTGACTAGACCGTGAGCTAGACACCTGACTAGACCATGAGCTAGACACCTGACTAGACCACGAGCTAGACACCTGACTAGACCACGAGCTAGACACCTGACTAGACCGTGAGCTAGACACCTGACTAGACTGTGAGCTAGACACCTGACTAGACCACGAGCTAGACACCTGACTAGACCGTGAGCTAGACACCTGACTAGACTGTGAGCTAGACACCTGACTAGACCATGAGCTAGACACCTGACTAGACCGTGAGCTAGACACCTGACTAGACCGTGAGCTAGACACCTGACTAGACCACGAGCTAGACACCTGACTAGACCGTGAGCTAGACACCTGACTAGACCGTGAGCTAGACACCTGACTAGACCGTGAGATAGACACCTGACTAGACCACGAGCTAGACACCTGACTAGACCGTGAGCTAGACACCTGACTAGACCGTGAGCTAGACACCTGACTAGACCGCGAGCTAGACACCTGACTAGACCACGAGCTAGACACCTGACTAGACCGTGAGCTAGACACCTGACTAGACCGCGAGCTAGACACCTGACTAGACCGTGAGCTAGACACCTGACTAGACCGTGAGCTAGACACCTGACTAGACCAAGAGCTAGACATCTGGCCGGACCCCAAACTTGACGCCTGGCTAGACACCTGGCTCCAATTAGCACGGTTGTCTACGTACAGTGCAAATAAGTTAAATACGCATACATACATTCATCAGGTTTGGCTAGATACTGGATTAGCCACCTGGCTAGATCCCGAGCTTGACGCATGGCTGAATGCTTCACTAAGGCTGCATGCCTGGCTAGATACAGGCTTGGACGCCGGGCTCAGATGGCTGGTGATATGCCGGTCTAGATGCTGGGCTAGACGCTGGGCTAGATGCTGGGCTAGATGCTGGGCTAGACGCTAGGCTAGATGCTGGGCTGGACGCTGGGCTAGACGCTGGGCTAGATGCTGGGCTAGACGCTGGGCTAGACACTGGGCTAGATGCCGGTCTAGACGCTGGGCTAGACGCTGGGCTGGACGCTGGGCTAGACGCTGGGCTAGACGCTGGACTAGATGCTGGGCTAGACGCTCGGCTAGACGCTGGGCTGGATGCCGGTCTAGACGCCGAGCTAGATGCTGGGCTGGATGCCGGGCTAGATGCCGGGCTAGACGCTGGGCTAGATGCTGGGCTAGACGCTGGGCTAGATGCTGGGCTAGATGCTGGGCTAGACGCTGGGCTAGATGCTGGGCTGGACGCTGGGCTGGACGCTGGGCTGGACGCCGGGCTAGACGCTGGGCTAGACGCTGGGCTAGATGCCGGGCTAGACGCTGGGCTAGATGCTGGGCTAGACGCTGGGCTAGATGCTGGGCTGGATACCGGGCTAGACGCTGGGCTAGATGCTGGGCTAGACGCTGGGCTAGACGCCGGTCTAGACGCTGGGCTAGACGCTGGGCTGGCGGTGGTGAGCGTACGTCAGAGGAGTAGGCTGCTCGCTGGGCATCCATGTGACGCCTCCTCTCCTCGTCGAGACGCCGCATCTCCTCGCGGCGCCGCACGCGGTCTACGCACACACACAAAGAGCGACGCGTACGCCAGTCAACACGCGAACCCGCGTGAGTGCACAAATGAATGAGTGTACGAGCGCACACACGTGCATGCATGACCGTGAATTCACAGCGATTGCATGTGAGTACGCATAAGTGCTCACCGCGGTGATTTGAAAAGCTAAAGGCCAAATGGGGGATCTGTTTGGGTTTGTGGGTCTGTGCGGCAGCGTAACGGCTAGCACGCTGCGCTGCAAACATGGTGACCAGAGTCGAATTCCCGCTCATGGCCACCACCGGTGACGATCATCAGAACCGTTCCTGGGCATCCTCCCTTAGGTCGACTCAGCCTCAAATGAGTACCTGGTGCGGTGTGTAAATATTGCCACTGGGGAGACAAAGGTGGTCGGGCGTGGTGCTGGCCACCCACCTGCTCGTGTACCGTGCTGACCTTTAACAGTCCATTAAAGGCTATACTGGGGATTTGGGTCTTTGATTTTTTTTTTCATGCAATTGCGATCATCCGGCATACGTGTGACCACTCATCCATCCACCCACCAACACCCATCCACCCACCAAGACCCATCCACCCACCAACACCCACCCACCAACACCCACCCACAAACACCCACCAACCAACACCTATCCACCAAACTCTTTGGTTCTATTGGGTAAAGTCACGTAGGTGAAAATAAAATAACAAAAAATCACGACGTTTCGGCCACAACACAAGCGGCCTTCATCAGGTGAAGGGACGAGACTGTCTGGTCCAGACAGCTAGCACGCTGTGCTGCAAACATGGTGCAGACAGTCTCGTCCCTTCACCTGATGAAGGCCGATTGTGTTGTGGCCGAAACGTCGTGATTTTTTGTTATTTTATTTTCACCTACGTGACTTTACCCAATAGAACCAAAGAGTATGGATCCTAGCAGTCACGAAAGCTTTAAATCTAGAACCTATCCACCAACCCACCCACCTATCAACACCCACCCATCCAACCCACTCACACACCGTGATAGGCCGTCTCCATCTCGGCCTCCAGTCTCTCCCGGGCACGCTGCACCCCGCGCTCCACCTGCTGCACATGCAGCCGCTCCATCTCGTCGAGGGCGCGGCACCGCGCCGCAAACTCAAACTCGAGGGTGCCCGGCGTCGCAAAGCGCGGCGCCTTCGAGCGCTCCCTGCGGACAGCGGGAAGAGCGGGAGGAGCGGGACGCGGAGAGCGGGAGGAGTGGGACACGGAGAGCGGGAGGAGTGGGACACGGAGAGCGGGAGGAGTGGGACACAGAGAGCGGTAGGAGTGGGACGCGAAGAGCGGGAGGAGTGGGACACGGAGAGCGGGAGGAGCGGGACACAGAGAGCGGGAGGAGCGGGACACAGAGAGCGGGAGGAGTGGGACGCGGAGAGCGGGAGGAGCGGGACACGGAGAGCGGGAGGAGCGGGACACGGAGAGCGGGAAGAGCGGGACACGGAGAGCGGGAGGAGTGGGACGCGGAGAGCGGGAGGAGCGGGACACGGAGAGCGGGAGGAGAGGGACACGGAGAGCGGGAAGAGCGGGACACGGAGAGCGGGAGGAGTGGGACGATGAGAGCGGGAGGAGCGGGACACGGAGAGCGGGAGGAGCGGGACACGGAGAGCGGGAGGAGCGGGAGGCGGAGAGCGGGAGGAGTGGGACACGGAGAGCGGGAGGAACGGGACACGGAGAGCGGGAGGAGCGGGACACGGAGAGCGGGAGGAGTGGGACGCGGAGAGCGGGAGGAGCGGGACACGGAGAGCGGGAGGAGTGGGACATGGAGAGCGGGAGGAGCGGGACACGGAGAGCGGGAGGAGCGGGAGGCGGAGAGCGGGAGGATTGGGATGCGGAGAGCGGGAGGAGTGGGATGCGGAGAGCGGGAGGAGCGGGAGGTGAGTTCACTCGGCGTTTGTGTTTTATCTTCTCACCCTCTACGTTCTCAATCTTTGCTCTCTCTCTCCGTTCCTCCTTGCATTCAATCCACGCTTTCGCTCTTTCTCTCTTCTCGCCCCCCTCCCCACTTCACTGGAACAAACTTCCCCCTCCGCATTAAGCGGTCACCTTCACTCACTAAGTTTACGCTCCTCACTCATAACTCACACTTATTGTTACCTCTGGCTCACCCCCATGACCCCGCCTTAATGTCCCCCTCATAACCACCACCACCGTCACTGTTCCCTCTTCATATTCTCTTTGCACGGCAATCAATCTTCAACAAGGAAGGACAGGGTGAGAAATGAAGACGTGAGAGTAAGACTCGAGGTGGTTAGAATCACAGAGAGGATGAGAGAGAGAAAAGGCTCTGGTGAGGTTTGGTCATGTGGAGAGATGACAGGGAAATGACGTGGGAACGAAGGTGGCGAGTGATGCAGGTGGAAGGAAAGAGATCAAGAGGAAGGCAGAAGAAGACGTGGGATTGGGGAGATGCGGTGCGAGCGGACACGGTGGGCCGAGGAGCGGAAAGAGAGACGGCGCAGGACAGGGCAGCGTGGAGAAGGTTGCCAAGGACAGCTGGACACCCCCACACGAGTGGGGCAAACGCGTGGAGACTCAATCGATTTGTCATCATCACTTGCTGTCATCAATTTCGCTGTCACCTAATTCACGCACCATCGCAGGTTCACCCACCCCCATTGCTTCCCCTCATCTATTTCATTCACCTAATCTCGACCCATTACAGTCACACGCACACACGCGTCGTTGTTGTTATACCATTCTCAATGCTCTGTAAAGCGCCTCGGTTAAGGCATTATATAAATGACGTTAAGATGAGATAAAGTTGAGCCAAAGCGACCTGGGTTGTCACCAATAATGAGAAAAGGGAAAAGAAATCGAAATAAAATACAGCGATGAGGCAAATAGAAATTAAGAGCAAAAAAAACCAGCATCATGGGGTGGAAGTAAAAAATATTGCATGAAAAATAAATCGACGTCAAATAATAAATTAACCTGGAGGGCGAGTGGGCTCGAACAGATTACGTTCAGACTGATCACCGCACGATTACAAACTAAGTTAGGGAAACATTAAACAGGTATAGGGCGACTATTGTACTTGTATGTACAGAGACACGGATAAACTAGTCAAATGGGCGATGTTCATCTTTGGGGCAATTTTAGTTTAGGGGAAATGGAAGTCTGTGGGCAGACACGGGTATACGAGTTAGATGCAAATGTGAATGAAGTTTTCATGACGGATCAAGATCTCAGTGCCAAGTTGGGATTGTGTTATGCATGCACAGTATTTTTTTTCGCACCGTAACGTAGCCAACCGCGCTAATCGGAGGTGCGGGGGAAAGACAGCAAACGAAAACGCAAAAAGCAGTCCTAAAGAAATGAGTTATCAATCTAGATTATTTTAAAAGTGCAGAGCTCCAGTGGCTTCCTAAGATCGGAACAGAAGTGCGTTCCAGACTGCCGCAGAAGCGCATCTGAAAGCGCCGCTCGATGATTGGGGGGGTCGCGGGCGGCCCAGCGCGTGCCCTCACTTGTAGTAGTGCAGGGTTCTGGGCAGGCTCGCCTCCGGGACCCCCTCCTCCTCGTCCAGCTGCTTGAAGGGCTCCACCATCACAGGCCGGAGGCATCTGCACGCATCCATAAAGAAACAGCCCTGAGCCAGGGCCTTCGTACATAACCCCCTTTTTCCCACTGGCACACTCGAGCTGAGCCGGCACGGGATCCCCGTGCCGCGGTACGGGGTGGTTTCTTTCCGCTTTGGTGTTTGACGTGCCTATCTGGAAAAAAAAACAATAACGCGCATGGGGGCCTCGCAAAAAGACGTCTTAAATCTAGCTTGGGGCCAAGCAGGGCCAGGCGGGGCCAGCGGTAGGACGAACGACTCTATCATTGGGTTCAATATCAAGTGAGTACACGGAGGACACAGCGTCACCGCATCATATGTGTGCGCCTTGACTCGTTCATCACGTGTGACACGTCGGCGACATGGCTTGGCACAGCTTCGGCAGTGGACAAACAACACCGGCGCCTCCCGAGCCATGTCGGGCTGGCTTGGCACGGTCATGGTGCAGCTCGGTTGTACGGCGGCAAAAAGAAGCAATAAGCAAAGTGCCAACACGAATACAGCACTCGCACGTACACAGTATCGCAGCAACAACAACTGCCATTCGCCACTATGCACCGGTGAAAACACAATGGTGCTTGTGCCACACTAGGTACACTTTAGCGATGAAGGACCATTGGCAGGTCAAGCAGGTTGTAATGTGTTTAATGACGAGGCTGACTGTCAAATGCTCTTCCCATCTGTACCCTTGCTATTCTTTAAATCGCCTGGAGTAATGCTCAATATTGAGCATTACTCTACCGCCCTCCGTTGTTGCTGGAGGGTAACTGCCACTGCCTGCCCAGGAGCGTCCTTCACGAGCCTCATCCCAGAGACCGATATCAGCAATCACGGTGCCTGTTGTCAGCAGGTCCACTCAACTGCAATTCCTCTTGTGCCACAACAACAAACTTTACCCGGCCAAACAGAAGCAACTTGATTTCACGATAACACACCCACGATGCTTGATTGTCATGCAATATCAGGTTAGGAAAGTATGCATGTTGAACTTTTTTCGCATCCATGAGAGGTTTTTTTGGGTTAGATTGCATAACTATAAATGTGTCTTTAAAAACCCGCCACCACCTGACAGAGCCAATTAGTATGGTTGATCACATAAACGAAACACGCCAATCAGTTGTGAGTTCAGCACACCGGTTGTGTGTGAGAGCAAACCCGCAACATTTACGGAGCCAACCGTGCTAATCTGGGTGGGCAGCGGGTGGGGAAGTGCGCCCACTACTGTGAAGGATCTCTCCCCCCGCAGCTCTTCTCCGAGAAAGCGAGCGCCGCTCTGCAAGATTTCCCAATGGATCCATTGTCTGGCGACGTGACGCGCGGGAGGGGGCGGAGTATTACGTCGGCAGAGGGAGAGAAAAAAAATCTAACGAGCCAAATAAAAAGGGGCGCCCCGTGGAACGCGAGCGTCCCCCTCCGCCACGAAACCCTCACGCTGTGAGCAGGAAGACGCCGTCGCGGCACGCCTCCGCCGCCCGGCTCGCCTCCTCGGTGCTCGTAAACTCGAGCCGCCCGCGCCCCGACGCCCGGCTCCCTCCGCTGGCGCTGCCCGAGGCTTCCACCGCCACGATGGACCTCTCCACCTCCCCGAAGCGGCCGAACGCCTCGGCCAGCAGCTCGTTGGAGACGCAGGGCGAGAGGTTCCCGACGGAGAGCGCCGCCGAGTGGCGGGCGCGACGCACGCGGACCCTCGGGCCCTGCGGCTCGGCCGCCTGCAGTGCCGACGCGCGCGATCCATTAGCCGCCGACCGAATCGCTCGGTTAAACCAGCCAGTCACTCACTCACCCACTACATTCTGTCTGCCCAACGTCTAATGCCGTCAACGTGTGCGCACGAACGTGCGTTTGTACGTGGTGTAGCGGTCAGCGCTCTGCACTACAAGCCCGGCGAGCCGGGTTCGATTCCCGCTCATGGCCAACATCTGTGACGAATATCTAAACCGGTCCTGGGCCTCCCCTAGGTCGACTCTGCCTCAAATGAGTACCTGGTGCGATGTGTAAACATCACCGCTGGGGAGACCAAGGCGACCTAGCATGGTGCTGGCCACCCACCCCCTCGTGCCGGCCTTGATAGATGCTCGCTAACAGCACTTGCAACAAAAGTTTAAGGCTATACGGGGGATCTTTGCCTTTGTTTGCACGTATGTTTATTTATATGTGCGAGCAGTGGCACGGCACTATGAACCCGGTGAGCCAAGTTGAATTCCTGGCCCGCAGTAAACATCAGCAGTGAGTGAAACGTGAACCGATCCTCAGCCTCCCTGCAGGCAACTGAGCCCTAATTGAGTACCTGGTGCGGTGTGTAACCATCAGCACTGGGGAAACAAAGGCGGCGGTGCTAGCCACGCCACTCCGTTGTGCCCCGGGTCGACCTTCGTAGGTGTTCCCTAACAGAACTTGCCCTGAGAGTGCAGTTAAGGCTACACGGGGGGGGGGGGGGGGGGGATGTTTGTGAATGTTTGTACAGGATAGAGTAACTCACACATGAGCTCAATGCTCACAGATACGCACCTCCTTTACCTCCTCTCCTCCGTTGGCCTCCCCCTTGCCTTCGTTAAGTGGCGCCGCATCTTGAGTCTCCGAATTCGAATCCGCTCCCTCCACCGTGGCGTCTTCCTCCACCTCCTCGTTCGTGCTCTCCGCTATGCCCGTCTCACCCTCTTCCCCTGCCGCATCACCTGCTTCTCCATCAGCCGGGCCGTCGCTTCCCGCTGCTTCTGCCGCATCTGCCTCCGGCGTTTCTGGTGCTGCTTCTGCTTGCGCTGCATCGGCCGCTTCCAGTTCGATTGCCGCGGCTGCTGCCGCCGTACCTGCCGCAGTAGCGTTGTCGCCGTCGCCACTGTCGGCGAGTTCGGCGGGGCTGCATTCTCCGTTGCTGGCGGCGTCTGCGCTGGTGGTGGTGAGGTCAGCCGATGGGTCTGGCTGTGGCGGCGGGGTCGATGGGTTTGGCAGGGCAGGCAGACCCCAGCAAGCTCCGTCCAACTCGGTGCGAGCGATCTCAGCCAGAGCGCTAGTCTCCTGTGCTCGTGCAATTAAACACATAAAACAACAAAGACAAAGATCCTCCGTATAGCCTTACCAGACTGTTGGGGCGAGTGCCGAGAAATATGGGACTTTTCACGCGAGATATTTTATGCAATTGGTCTGACAGAAGGTAACAAACAGACTTCGCTTGTGGATAATGAGTGTCCAGGCTATTGCCTGGACTAGGGGGTAGAACTGAGGACACGGCTATGGGTAAAGTCATGGCTCTGGTTTGACATAAGCATGGGATTAGAGACCAGTAATCTTGTTGTCGCTATGGCGAGGGAACGAGTATGCGTATTGTCAGGGACATCGTTTTGAGAGTCATGTCTTTGATTTTTCTGACAGTGCTTCGTATAGCCACCAGGGCTGGTACTAGAACCACTGTTCAGAATATAAGATTTCAATCAGGGGTAGTATTAATGCAGTATTATACCGAAGCAATGCCATCCCCAGCTTAGGAGATTTGTCACTCAAAAATCCGATTATGCCCCCATCCACGAATTCACTCACTCAACCAAGAACGCTCACGCTCATCCCCCTACTCACTCACTCGCCAACTCTCTCACTCACTAGTTCACTCACACACACTCTCGTTATCATGCTGTACCTATAACATGGGTTTTTTTTGGTTAGATCGCGTAAATAAAAATGTGTCGTTAAACCCGCCACCACCAGACGCAGCCAATTAGTAAAGTTTGTCACGTAAACAGAACATGTCCATTCGTTATTAGTACAGCACACCGGTGTGTTGGAGAAAAAAAATCCACATTTACAATCTGTACTTAGATTCTACTCTTAACTCAGATTGTAAATGTTGTGGATTTTCTCTCCAACACACCGGTGTGCTGAACTAGTAACGAATTGGCATGTTGTGTTTACGTGACAAACCTTACTAATTGGCTGCGTCTGGTGGTGGCGGGTTTAACGACACATTATTATTTACGCGATCTAACCCAAAAACTCTGAACAATGGATGAGATTGGTCGCGAAAGCCTACGTGTTAAACTTGCTATACCTACTCATCCATCCACCCACTCGCCCACCTACCTACTCATTCACACACCCTGCCACTCACCTAACCTCACTCACCTAACATCACCCACCTACTCATTCACTCACCCTGCCACTCACCTAACCTCACCCACCTACTCATTCACTCACCCTGCCACTCACCTAACCTCACCCACCTACTCATTCACACACCCTGCCACTCACCTAACCTCACCCACCTACTCATTCACTCACCCTGCCACTCACCTAACCTCACTCACCTAACCTCACCCACCTACTCATTCACTCACCCTGCCACTCACCTAACCTCACCCACCTACTCATTCACACACCCTGCCACTCACCTACTCATTCACACACCCTGCCACTCACCTAACCTCACCAACCTACTCATTCACTCACCCTGCCACTCACCTAACCTCACCCACCTACTCATTCACACACCCTGACTCACCTAACCTCACCCACCTACTCATTCACTCACCCTGCCACTCACCCTGCCACTCACCAGCCTCACGACTCCTTCCCTCTTGTCAGAGTCGACGCACGCCTCGGCGAGGCGCCCAAACTTAATGAAGAACCTCCTTAGGTCGTCCTCGCTCGCTCCCTGTGGGACGTTGCTCACGACGAGCCTCCCGCGCTGAGAAAAGGGCCGCTCGCCCGCCTTCAGGAACGGGAACCCATTCAGAACCAGTGCCGAGGCGGGGACCCCGTCCAGGGTCCCTTCGTCTGCCGGGCAAGGAGCCTCCGGGGCGGAGGACGACTCAGGCGAGGGAAAGGCTTCGGCATTTTCCGCTGATTCGCCGGGCCGTGGCGTGTGTCGCCCTTCAGATTTCGCGCTCGTTTCTTCGGTCTCCCCGTCCTCCGGCATAGTTTTGGCGGCCGTTTCACTGCAAATCTTTGACTGCATCGTGCAAATTTTATGCAGAGCGAAACTTTTAACGAAAACTAATTTGTGTGTTTCTGTCCCTCCCCACACCCCCCCCCTTCTATTGTCACGCTCGGCCTCGACTGGCACAGCAGCAAAGCGTGGCTTCTGGAAGATCCATTCCGAACACAACCACCGCCTCTGGAAGATTGAGAAGACGTCTTGGCAGAGATTAAGAAGATGTCTTGTGGAAGATTGAGAAGACGTCTTGCCGGAGATTGAGAAGACGTCTTGTGGAAGATTGAGAAGACGTCTTGTGGAAGATTGAGAAGACGTCTCGTGGAAGATTGAGAAGACGTCTTGTGGAAGATTGAGAAGACGTCTTGACAGAGATTAAGAAGATGTCTTGTGGAAGATTGAGAAGACGTCTTGACAGAGATTAAGAAGACGTCTTGTGGAAGATTGAGAAGACGTCTTGACAGAGATTGAGAAGACGTCTTGTGGAAGATTGAGAAGACGTCTTGTGGAAGATTTAGAAGACGTCTTGCGGAAGATTGAGAAGACGTTTTGTGGAAGATTGAGAAGACGTCTTGCCGGAGATTGAGAAGACGTCTTGTGGAAGATTGAGAAGACGTCTTGTGGAAGATTGAGAAGACGTCTTACCAGAGATTGAGAAGACGTCTTGCGGAAGATTGAGAAGACGTTTTGTGGAAGATTGAGAAGACGTCTTGTGGAAGATTGAGAAGACGTCTTACCAGAGATTGAGAAGACGTCTTGCGGAAGATTGAGAAGACGTTTTGTGGAAGATTGAGAAGACGTCTTGTGGAAGATTGAGAAGACGTCTTGTGGAAGATTGAGAAGACGTCTTACCAGAGATTGAGAAGACGTCTTGTGGAAGATTGAGAAGACGTTTTGTGGAAGATTGAGAAGACGTCTTGCGGAAGATTGAGAAGACGTCTTGTGGAAGATTGAGAAGACGTTTTGTGGAAGATTGAGAAGACGTCTTACCAGAGATTGAGAAGACGTCTTGCTGAAGATTGAGAAGACGTTTTGTGGAAGATTAAGAAGACGTCTTGCCAGCGATTGAGAAGACGTCTTGCCGGGGATTGAGAAGACGTCTTGCCAGAGATCGAGAAGACGTCTTGCCGGAGATTAAGAAGACGTTTTGTGGAAGATTGAGAAGATGTCTTGTGGAAGATTGAGAAGACGTCTTGCCGGAGATTGAGAAGACGTCTTGCGGAAGATTGAGAAGACGTCTTGTGGAAGATTGAGAAGACGTCTTACCAGAGATTGAGAAGACGTCTTGCTGAAGATTGAGAAGACGTTTTGTGGAAGATTAAGAAGACGTCTTGCCAGAGATTGAGAAGACGTCTTGCCGGGGATTGAGAAGACGTCTTGCCAGAGATCGAGAAGACGTCTTGCCGGAGATTAAGAAGACGTTTTGTGGAAGATTGAGAAGATGTCTTGTGGAAGATTGAGAAGACGTCTTGCCGGAGATTGAGAAGACGTCTTGTGGAAGTTTGAGAAGACGTCTCGTGGAAGATTGAGAAGACGTTTTGTGGAAGATTGAGAAGACGTCTTGCGGGGGATTGAGAAGACGTCTTGCCAGAGATTAAAAAGACGTCTTGCCAGAGATTGAGAAGACGTCTTGCCAGAGATTAAGAAGACGTCTTGCCAGAGATTAAGAAGACGTCTTGCCAGAGATTAAGAAGACGTCTTGCCGGAGATTAAGAAGACGTCTTGCCATAGATTGAGAAGACGTCTTGCTGAAGATTGAGAAGACGTCGGCCGTACGATTCAGAAGACGTCTTGTGAATACAAACGATAAGCTCAACTAAGTGGAAATTTATAGCAGGAGCCACTACGCGTTTCTTAATGTTTAGTGGGAAACCGGAGGACTCGGAGGAACGCAAACTCCAAATAGACAGCAGCAGCAGTTTTCGATGTAAAGCTTTCGTGACTGCAAGGAGTCATCTTATTTGGTTCTTTCGGTAAAGTCACGTAGAATGAGAATAAAATAATAAATTAATAAAATAAAATAACACAGTGAGAATTTTACTGTGCAATTTTATTTTATTATTTTATTTTATTCTCATTGTACGTGACTTTACCGAAAGAACCAAAGAAGATGTCCAGTAGTTGTTGAAGAGAAATCCACACGACGTTTCAACAATACGAGGTGCAGACGTTTGGCTCACAACATCCAGCAGCGCATCACGCAGTTGGCAGAATTGTGATCATGTCCCTCTACTCGTGGATAATGCGGGGAATGTTGGACTTCTTTCGCACCGTACGTAGCCAACCGTGCTAATCGGAGGTGCAGGGAGGAAGGACAACAAAGTAAACACAACTACAACAAGCAGTTCTAAAGAAACGAGTTTGTCAACCTAGATGATGATTTAAAAGTGCGTAGCTCCCAGTGCCTCCCTTGCATCTGAAGGAAGAGCGCGTTCCAGACGGCCGCGCAAGCGCATTCGAAAGCGCCGCGCGATGCGGTGACCACCGCCTTGGTTCGATGGGAAGCAGCCAAAAGCCGCCGCTGCTGCTGCTGCGAGGATGACCGGAGCTCCCGTGATAGTTTACCATCGCTGACAACCCCTTATCAGTGCCCTACCAAAATTACAGACCAACTCACACCGTATTGGTCACCCCGTGCTCCTTATACATCTCAACGTTCATCCTACAAAGTCCCATCACAAGGGAGAAACACAAATAGACAAGTATTTGTTGCCTGTATTGAAACGGCTGTACGCTGTATGGGCCTGAACACTCAATTTCCCTGTACAAGAATACGGGCTAAGCCGTGTGTCTTCACACGGCATGGATTACACTCGTGGACGAGATCAGCGAGGTAGATGTCATGAGCCTGCTGCTTCGCGTGTTCTCTAATCCGTGTGGTCCTCTCTTTGTTACCACATTTAATTTCAAGACCGATCCTCATATTTTTATACTCGCAAGGGAGCTCCCATGATGAAGCTGCTCACCAGGAGCTCTCAATGTCCTGACGGTGGCATTGTCTTTGTGCTGTTCGCCTTTTAGCCTTGTCCTCTGGTCTAACAGTGTGTGAGACTCGGCTCTAAAGAAAGCTGTCTCTGGTGTGGACCAATCAGTTTCAAAGACAATATTCACCACAAGTATATGTGGTTAATGCAGATATGATTCGTTGCAAAAGGTTTCTGTTTCGTGTTGTAACATCTTAACACAGCTGTTTTATTGCAAGAAAGGGTAAAACCTATTCTCATACGAGGGACTAAATGTTGAAAGAAAATTCGCGGGCTCGTCCACGAAACGCTAAACACCACCGACATTAAAAGTCACAGTCGCGCAATGGCGCCCCAATCATTCTTCCGTTCAAAACAGGGGGATGAAACCCGAATGGGTAAGAGCCGCAGACCCACGCGTCCCTCTTGTCGCACGAGAACGCAGCGGCTCGCCACAGACTGCTTGAAAACTACTGCCAGACAGGAGACGCCACCCAAACGCAGGCAGGCAAGCGCGGATCACGGGGGAGGATGTTTCTCTCCGCCGTCCAAAGTGTAGCCAGCGGCGCCGCTGAGATTCCGGACGGGACAAACGCTGTGAAAGAACTTTTATTTTATTTTTGTTCGGTAACCTGGGACTGTCTAGCCCAGTTCTTAACATCACCCCGAGATAAAGTAACCAATACCAGCATGCAACCGCGCAATACATTTCCCAAATGTGATAAAAATGTGTGTTTAACTTCGTGCCCGTGGCGAACGCATGGGAGAGTGAAGGGGAGGGTTTATATGGGCAAAGAATAGGTTCCATATTCTATAAACTATCAAACTATGTTTTTATTTTACCAGGTAAGGGCCCACTTAGCTGCTATATAGCTCGTTTTTTTCAGAAGCGAGCTGCCTATCAAAAATGACAGCTCAACGAAGCGGCTCATACATCACGTGGGGATATTCGTCGCGGCCAAGTATTCCAAACGCGTGACGTTGATTCTAAATGTGGAGGGAAAATCGGAGGACTCGGAGAAAAATCCACGCGACCAGGAGGAGAACATTCAAACTCCAAATATACAGCAGGTGTCAGGGTTGAGATCGAACCCAGGACCTCCTGTATACCAGGCGAGGGAGTTAACATCTCATAGCCACCGTGGCGCCCCAGTTAAATTGTAGATTGTCTTTAATGGAGGGGGGGGGGACTATTATTATTATTATTATGTAGCGACTTCCAGAACTTACTCCACTGAGAATCTGTGATGGGATTAGCAGATATCCCATCCCATAATGCCGTCGTTTTGGGTCTGACTGGTCTGTTATTAGAGAGTAGGATATTTATGTTTTTTACGATTCTGATATTTTTGTACGGAGTTTTATGGCTCCAAAGCCAGGGTATCAATGGCGTTGTTGGAAGTTTAAGCCTTTAGTTCATGTGTTTTATTGAGGGTGTTGGGGGGGATGCTTTCCTGAAAGGTGCGACGACAAAAATCGAAACTACGCAAAATAAAAAGCGATGTTACAGGGCAGTAGTAGGTGGTGGTGGTGGACGCACAGTGGGGGGCACAGGTGGTGCATCGGCCAGTCGTCTCAGTCAGCCGACCCGTGGCACCTGCTGGTTCTGCCCCGTGACCTCCTGCCAGCGGCGTTCGACACTTCACGTGGCCTCATCAGTGCCGGATTATCCTAGCAGCACAGGTAGCTACACATGATGCTGCGGGCCCCGCACTTTCAAGGGCCCCGCGCTAAATGCTTTCAAACTATCAATTCCGGTTCAGTGATTCTGCACTTGCTCTATTACTACAGTACTACACCGCGTTCAACTTTTATGAACGACTCGGTGTTTAAGGTTAGCGATTTGTCGTATTATCTGACTGTATAGAAAATGAAAAAATACAATTACTTTACTATGCAAGCAAAAAAATTGTGTTTTAATATTTACGTGGTTTTATTTTATCTAGGGCCCCTTAATAACATCATGCTCGGGGCCCCGCACTTAGCTTAGTCCGGCACTGGGCTTCAACGTGCACGTAGCCTGGCACAAGCGCCGTGGTGATGTCGCCGCTACTTAGTGGCGAATGGCGGTTGTTGTTGGTGGTGGAGGCGAAGGCTGAGAGGCCGATGCTGTCAGCGACGTGAGCGTGTGGGTTGAGGCGACACAAATCCGGTGGTGGTGATGTTAACAAAGTGGCAACGTGGTTTGCGAAACGACGCAAGGAGAGGGGTAACGTACATTTGGGTCTAGCCGTATTTGAACAAGTGTGAGATGGGGCACATCGTGTTTGTCTCTGACGTTTTGGAAAGCTATCGACCATGCCCTCTTGACGAAGTCACAACCCCAGTCTCGTGGGTATTCGCGTTCCTCCAGGGCAGCCAATCCACGCCCTTGTCACCTGTCTAGATAGATGGGTAGTCCCGCCAGATGCCTGAGTGGGGCTGGAGCCAGCCGAGCAGGGTGAGTTGAAGTTAACGGCGTTGTCCCTGTTGGTTGTAAGTCATTCCTGCCAAGCACCACGGCGCTATTGAGAAATGTCCCCCCCCCCCCCCACCATTGCTTCCAAGTGCCTCCAATTGCTGAGCACATCCAGTTTGTCACCGTGAATGCTGCAATAGCCAGGTAGTGTTCACGGAGGTTTGGTGCCAATATAATATATTTGTACATTATGATTATTACTACTTTATTGTTTGAAAGCTATGATCAGGTCGAAGCTATGATCAGTTTAAACCCAGAGCTTAATTTATCATTCGAGATTCTCCGGAACGCTGCTAGGCTGTCCCGGAGAAGAGACTATCAGCGTGAAGCACTTGTACTAGAGTACACAGTACGCCTACCTATAACAATCCCATATTTTTGTACCCTATAGTCCCACACGCCACCACAGTATCACGAGGACAATATAACGTGAGATGGATTGGGGGTTGCCAAAATTATTCCTGGAAAAGTGTTCCGGGCTGTTCCGGCTGTACTTAAACATAGCTTCAAGCTACAATTGGGTTGAAGCTATGATTCAGGCTGTAGTTGCGATGATGTCGAAGCTCTGATGTTGTGGCTATGATGAGATCGGCCTGATATTGAAGTTGTCAAAAAGAAGCTATGATGAGGTTTAAGCTATGATGACGGTAATGCGATGATGATGAGGATGATGAGATTGAAGCTATGATGATGGCAATGCGATGGTGATGATGATGACGATGACAATGATGAGGTTGAAGCTATGATGACGGTAATGCGATGATGATGATGATGACGATGATGAGATTGAAGCTATGATGATGGCAATGCGATGGTGATGACGATGATGAGATTGAAGCTATGATGATGGTAATGCGATGGTGATGATGATGACGATGACAATGATGAGGTTGAAGCTGTGATGACGCGAATGCGATGATGATAATGATGACGATCATTCGATTGAAGCTATGATCACGGTAATGTGATGGTGATGATGATTATGACGATGATTAGATGGAAGCTATGATGACGGTAATGCGATGGTGATGACGATGATGAGATTGAAGCTATGATGATGGTAATGCGATGGTGATGATGATGATGATGATTAGATGGAAGCTATGATGACGGTAATGCGATGGTCATGACGAGGGTTGTCAGTAGATCTTGTCCGAGCAGAAGCACGAGGCTGGGCAGTAGGAGCGGATTATTTTCCCGTTCCCCGTTGGAGCGCAGCCGTAGATCGTCTTCATCGGGTCGCAGTTCGCGTACAGGTTTCTGTACGGACACGCGTTGGCTGTGCATGTTCGTGTGCACAGCGTGAACACGAAGACACACACACGCACACGTGCAGACACACGCACACGCGTCACACACACACGCACACGCGTCACACACACACGCACACGTGCAGACACACGCACACGCGTCACACACACACGCACGCGTCACACACACGTGAGCAAAACCGTCGTGCTATTATTCTCTCCTCGAGTGCAGGGCGATCGCAACGCGGACACTCAGTCGGGTAACTGTTCCTGCGCCTGTTTAGAAACCGGTCAGTGACCTTCCTGAACAACGTCTACACACGTGCGATTCGGTTGGGCATGTTTGTAATGACTTAATATTGCATTCATTTAAACAACAAACTAAAACTATTATTTTACCAGGTAAGACCCGCTCAGCTAATGTAGCTCTTATTGCAGAAGCGACCTGGCTATCACAAATGATAGACCTCAACGAAGTGAATTTGTCACGTGGAAATGTATAGCAGCCAAACACCCGAAGCGCACGCCGATTACTCACTGTGGAGGAACCGGAGATAAACAAAATCCACACGGCCGCGGGGAGCAAGGGGAGACGCGAATTCCAAATACACAGCATGCGTGAGGGTCGGGGTCGAACCCAGGGCCGCCTGTAAACCAGGCGAGGGATACTCACTGCAGAGGTCGTTCTCGCAGTCGTTGGGGCAGCTTCTGCATGGGCTTCCCTCATTGTAGGGGCGACTCAAGCGAGTGTTGAGGTTACCGCTGTGAGAGACAACACGCAAAATGACCAAGTCATACTCAGCAGCCGCAATACTAGAGCCGGGCTATCCGATTATACAGGGTGCTTCGAAGATGTTTTAACACTTCTATGAGACTATCGTTTTTAATGGAAAAAGACCGGATAATACACTGTAACATGATAAGAAATGTATGTTAATGTCTTCAAAAAGTCAAAGAGTCTCCACTTGTTCGTCTTCATTGTCAACGCGTGCCTGGAATTTTCTCCAGGTGGTCTCCCGAGCCTGAAGGCAGCAGCACATTTCTTGTGGCATTTTTGCAAATTCTCCGAAGTGTTAACAATTTTTTGAAGCACCCTGTATAATCAATTATTCGGGATGTCCCAGCATGCTTTGCATGTCAAGGTGACAACTCCATGACCAAGCAGTATCACGTTTGGCGTTGGGAGGTTCACGGGTTTGAACCCTGCAGCCGCCCTGGTTAACACAACAACAATAATAGTCATGGTTATTTCAACTTGTAACGCACACGGAATTTACTCACTTTCACAGAGAGAGAATGAATGAGGGGCGAGAGGAGGAACCAGAGGCAAGCGGGAAGGCAGCCACGCTATGGGCCGGCGTCAACAATTGCCGAATCTCTGTGGCCATCCACATACGACGGTTTTGTCGGCCAATTGATGAGCGTCTACATGTGGGAGGAAACCAGAGCACCCCGATAAAAACCACGGGTGCGAAGGGGAAACACCCTCCCTATCCCCATGAGGACAGAACAGGTTTGCGTCGTCAACATGTGTTGCTGTATAAGAATCGGTTTTACCATTTTTAGTAATAAAACAGTTGTGTTAAGATGTTAAAACACCAAACAGAAACCTTTTTATCTTGATTTGAAGCTTTCGTGACTGCAGGAATCAATACTCTTTGGTTCTTTCGGTAAAGTCACGTGGGTAGAAGAATAAAATAAAATAAAAAATCATATATCACGACGTTTCGATCGCAACACAAGCGGTCGTTCTCAGGCGTAAAAAATACAGCGAGAGAGCTGTTACCACAACAAGACATTAACACAACTGACATGCTTGCGTGCGGGGATGGAATTCCTTTCCAGCTCAGACCCCGCCTGCTTGCCCTTCGTCACATATTTAACCTCTTGTTGTTGTAGCTGCTCTCTCGCTGGCTCAGCAGTTCCACTGCTGGATTATTTTTTCCGCCTGAGGACGACCGCTTGTGTTGCGATCGAAACGTGATATATTATTTTTCATTTTATTTTATTTTTCTACCTATGTGACTTTACCGAAAGAACCAAAGAGTATAGAAACTTTTTGTAAGGAATCATGTCTGCATTAACCACACACAGTACTTGTGGTGAATACACAAACAAAAACATTCTCTGATAATCAAGTTATACATTGTCTTTTAAACTGATTGGCCTACACACGAGAGACAGCAGCAGCCTTCTTTATGGCCTAGTCTCACCACCACCAGCGTCAGACCAGAGAACAACGCCAAAAGGCGAACAGCACAAAGACAATGCCACTATCAGGGCAGTTACATGCCCTGTTCACCACAAGTATGTGCGGTTAATGCAGACATGATTCCTGGCAAGAAGGTTTCTGTTTGGTGTTTTAACATCTCAACAACAAATTTTGATTTAAAGCTTTCGTGACTGCAGTAATTCATATTCTTAGTTTTTTCGGTAAAGTCACGTTGAAGAGAAACAACAAAATAACAAAATATATATAAAACAATAAAAAATTCTCACGACGTTTCGACCATAACTCAAACGGTCATCATCAGGTGTGTCGGTTTGCATAAATTTATTTTTAAAACGGCACATTTATTTATTTATAAAAAACGTTGGCGTCACGCGCAGCGATTGGCAGTTTGCCCAGGACTAGTCCATCTATTTTTTTGAAAAGAGGAGGGGGGAGACGAAATTTTTTATAATGTATGCTGTCTGAAAGCCACTGTAAGCGTGAACAATCAATCAAGAACTGAAATGATTTATCAAATCTTTCCAATGATTGCTAAGATAGAATCCATCTTCTCGGTTGAAATTGTCTCTGTGCTTGTATATGTGGATAGCCTCATGAACGAATCTCTCATGGAAGCCAGATGGCTTACAAAGAACCTCCGTACACCCAGCCATCAGATTTACCATGGAAGTCGAAATAGATGGCAAGATACCTTTTTTGGATGTCCTAATTAAAAAGAGACCTGATGGTTCAATGAGCCACTCTGTCTACAGGAAAGCTACCCATACGGATGCTTATCTGAAACCGGATTCCCACCACCATCCATCACAGAAGAATTCTCTCATCAAGACTCTGTATCATAGAGCCCAATGCATATCCGACCAGGAACACATAAGCAGTGAACTCAAGCACGTACACCAAGCTCTTAGGGCTAATGGTTACTCCGACTATACAATCCGCAAAGCTATCACTCAAACCATGAAGAAGAACCCTCTTGAGGAGCCTTTCAAAACCATCACTTTACCCTACATTGCTGGGATCACAAAAAAGATCTCCAAAATCTTGAATAAACACAAGATCCAGGTCCGTTTCAACACATTACATAAAATCCGTGATCTGGTTCCGTCTGTAAAGGATGTGATTTTGGACATACAATACCCTGGTGTCTACAGACTAAGTTGCCTCTGTGGTAGTAGTTACATTGGAGAAACCAAACGCCATGTCTCGGACCGCATTCGTGAACATAAAGCAGACCTTAAACACGGTAGGACCAACACCTCGGCCGTAGCAGATCATTGTTCTAATTCAGTAGGCTCACATGCCATTGACTTTTCCAAGACGGAGGTTCTTTGTAAGCCATCTGGCTTCCATGAGAGATTCGTTCATGAGGCTATCCACATATACAAGCACAGAGACAATTTCAACCGAGAAGATGGATTCTATCTTAGCAATCATTGGAAAGATTTGATAAATCATTTCAGTTCTTGATTGATTGTTCACGCTTACAGTGGCTTTCAGACAGCATACATTATAAAAAATTTCGTCTCCCCCTCCTCTTTTCAAAAAAATAGATGGACTAGTCCTGGGCAAACTGCCAATCGCTGCGCGTGACGCCAACGTTTTTTATAAATAAATAAATGTGCCGTTTTAAAAATAAATTTATGCAAACCGACACACCTGATGATGACCGTTTGAGTTATGGTCGAAACGTCGTGAGAATTTTTTATTGTTTTATATATATTTTGTTATTTTGTTGTTTCTCTTCAACGTGACTTTACCGAAAAAACTAAGAATATCTCAACAACAGTTTTATTGCGAGAAAGGGTAAAACCTACTGATACTGGCAAGTCAAGGTCCCATGATGTCGCTGCTCACCCCGAGCTATCAATGCCCTGATAATGTTTTTGACGTAACCGTCTCTTCCTGGCGAGCCAGCGTTCTAGGCTCCCTCAACAACCACGCCAAGGCAGTTTGAACGACATCTGCGCGCGTGATCCGCCAACCCTCCGCTGCCGCCTCCCCCGGCGCCGGATCGCTGGGCGCTTGCGTAGCCAAATCCGACGCCGGCAGGCCGATGATTCGGTTCACGCAGCGGGCTCGTCACCCCGAAAAACACCGCGGAGAGCCTTACGTCAAGTGAAGTCAGCTTTCTTGATCACATACCCCTGCATATGTAGTGACAGGGTGCCATCTGTTGACCATGAAGGATAACTACGGCTATGGGTGCGCTATATAACAGCCTACCATACGAGGGGTGTAACTGGGCCAAGGGTCAGAGGCGGGGATCAGTTTGGAAGCTCCTGGAACCTAAATGAGAGTTCTAGAAGAGGGGCGTGGCCAGAGGCGGGGCTTGACCACGCTGAGGATTACATAAAAGGGAGGGTAACCGGAGGTTCGGGGCTGTCGTGGGGGTTCAGATCCTGGCAGACGTCGCTGTCTTCGCCATGAACTCTTCATCGTCGTCCGGCCGCATGGCCGATCCGCTGTACGGTCCCCATCATCGTCGCCGTATTAGTCAGCCAGCTATAGAGTTAGGCGTCGGCGATGTGGCTGTATGAGTGGGTGAGCTATACGTATCTCAGTGTGTATGATATTCAGTGACTCTGCCCGTAAAGTGTGAGAAATCAACAATGAACCCTCTACAAGTCGCGTCTCGGAAGTCGCTCACTACACATACAGTACATGAGGTACATGGCGGTGAGATTCTTTAGTCCCGTGTCGCTCTCTCTCGGTTTGTGAAAATTCACAACGACAATGTAAACAGCGACGATATTTTTAAATATGTAAAAATGTATTAAAAACTAAGTAAAATTCGTGTTGCTGATGATGAAAGTGACGTGTGCTTAGCAGAAATAGTGTCCCCTGCGGGTGAGCTTTATAAATGGTCTTGTTATGCAACATTTTATTGTTTGGTTAATGTCTAGTGCAGACGGTGAGGTGTTCCACCCCCACTCCTTCCCCCGCCCCTCCACCCCCGCTCGCGAGTGGCGCTGTTCGCCCCGAGTTTCGCGTGTGCACATCTTGATGGAGTACTCACGCGGGGCAGTAATGGCACACGTAGACATACTTGTAGATGGCCTCTGGGCAGTAGTTGACCGCACAGCCCAGCTGGAAGGAGCTGTACCACACCACCTGAAGGGACGGAGAACAGCAGGGCAACAGTCTCGATGTCAATGAGGGGGGGGGGGGGGTCAACGTCTCCGCCGATGGGTGCCGCGGTTGATGCAAACGCGCCGACCCGGGTTGCCACCTCTGTGGTTCTCAGTGCCAGAAGGGAGGGGGGGCTATAAAGCGACGCGCAGCTGACAACGACAACAAAAAACACCCGGCACTTTTCATCACCGTCGTTGTCATCATCGAACTCGGGCCGCCGGGTTCGTCGCGCAGCGCGCTAACCGCTGCACCGCCGCTCCCCACAGACGCGCGCACCTGCGTGTAGTGGCCGATGTCTCCGGGGGCGGCCGGACCCTTGCCGAAGATGAAGCCCGGCACCTCGGCTTCGTTATACCAGTCGAGCACGGCGTCCTGCCACGAGAGTGGCGCCGTGGCCAGGAAGATGTTCTCCCCGCACTGGAACGCTGCGGGCACGCGTTGGGTGAGAGAGTGTGGATAGGGCTATAGTTAAAGATGTGGATAGGATTATGGTTAGAGATGTGGATAGGATTATAGTTATAGATGTAGGTAGGATTATAGTTAAAGATGTAGATAGGGTTATAGTTATAGATGTAGATAGGATTATAGTTATAGATGTAGATAGGATTATGGTTAGAGATGTGGATAGGATTATAGTTATAGATGTAGATAGGATTATGGTTAGAGATGTAGATAGGGTTATAGTTAGATATGTGGATAGGATTATGGTTAGAGATGTAGATAGGATTATGGTTAGAGATGTGGATAGGGCTATAGTTAGATATGTGGATAGGGTTATGGTTAGATATGTAGATAGGATTATGGTTAGAGATGTGGATATGGCTATAGTTAGATATGTGGATAGGGTTATGGTTAGAGTTGTGGGTAGGGTTATAGTTAGATATGTGGATAGGGTTATGGTTAGAGTTGTGGGTAGGGTTATAGTAAGATATGTGGATAGGGTTATGGTTAGAGATGTAGATGGGGTTAGTGATGTGGATAGGGCTACGATCAGAGATAGGACCGTGATTCGGGATCGAACTGTGGTTCTGGCCGAGGCTGTGGTCGGGGCCGTGGTTGCTGTGAGTGCTCTGGGTCGAGGGCTCAGCTCAGCTCAACGTGCAAGTGCCCCCTCTGCTCCGTGCGTCCTTCAAGGTACTCTCACCTGAGGTCTTGCGATTCTCCGCGGGGCTGTGGTTGAGGGTGCATCTCTTGGCCCAGGCCAGGCTGTTGTTGCCAGCAACCGAGTTCCATTCCTGCGCCGGCAGCAGACGGACAGACGGTCCCACTGGGTCACGTTCGACCAGATGGCGCGCAGGGGATGTCGAGAGCAGTGGTTCTTCTTAACCTTTCTTGGCTACTGCTGTGGGACCCTCACCCCCCCTCCTTGTTTGAATTTTGTTTCAACCTATTAACCCCCCCCCCCCTTTTTGCCTGACCCAACGTGGTTCTGAGAAATACACGTATGGATTAATGAACGTCGATATTTTAACCCTAATTGCCCATTTCGTGCGGTTACCCCAACTGGTTCGGTAACGAATACGTTTGAAAACCCTTTCGGGCAATAAAACAAATTGTGTTGAGATGTTCACACGCCAAATATAAACCTTTTGCCAGGCATCAAGTCTGCACTAACCACACACACTTGTGGCAAAACATGCAAACAGACAATGCCCTCATTAAATTTTGATTTAAAGCTTTCGTGACTGCAGGGATTCATATTCTTGGTTCTTTCGGTAAAGTCACGTAGAAGGGAAACAATAAAATAATAAAAATATAAAACAATAAATTCTCACGACGTTTCGACTGCAACACAAGCAATCATCATCAGGTGTGAAAGCCACAGTAAGAAAATTTGAAAAAGTGTTTTTCACACCTGATGATGATTGCTTGTGTTGCAGTCGAAACGTCGTGAGAATTTTATTGTTTTATATTTTTATTATTTTATTGTTTCCCTTCTACATGACTTTACCGAAAGAACCAAGAATATAATGCCCTCATTATTATGTTTGCGTGTTCACCACAAGTAATGTGCGTGGTTAACGCAGTGATCTTATTCCTTGCAAAAAGTTTTCTATTTGGTGTTTGAACATCTTAAACACCTTCTCTTGTTGTATTGCCAGAAAGGGTAAACACCTATTTTTTCATACTTTGATACTGACTAAAAGGTCCCATTTTGAAGCTGCTCACTCCGAGCTATAACTGCCCTGACAGTGGCATTGTCTTTGTGCTGTTCGCCTTTGGTGTTCTCTGGTCTGACACTGGGGGTGGTCAGACTTGGCCATAAAGAAAGCTGATGCTGTCTCTTCGTGTAGGGCGATCAGTTTCAAAGACAATGCATAACTTGATTATCAGAGCATGTTCACCACAAGTATGTGTGGTGAAGGCAGACTTGATTCCTTGAAAAAAAGGTTTCCATCTGGTGTTTGAACATCTTAACACCTCCTTCTGTTAAATTTCGATTTAAAGCTTTCGTGACTGCAATGATTCATCTTCTTTGGTTCTTTCGGTAAAGTCACGTAGAATGAGAATAAAATAATAAATTGATAAAATAAAATAACACACCTCCTTCTGTTGTATTGCCAGAAAGGGTAAGACCTAGTCTTAATTTTTTTCGTACTTTGATACTGGCAAAAAAGTCCCATTTTGTAGTTATGTAACTGCCAGCGAATACAACAACAACAAAAATCAACGGACGCTCTGCAAGCGTGAGGCAAATTGTTCATGCTCACTGGTTCATAGCGTGTCAACCCACACGGTTTACCCTGTGTTCTTGTACGGGGAAATTGAGTTTTAAGGTCCGTACGGCGTACAGCCGTTTCAATAGGGCCAAAAAGTGTGTGTTTCCTATGTGTTTGTGTTTCTCCCTTGCGATGGGACTTTGTAGGATGAACGTTGAGATTTATAAGCGGCACGGCATGACGAATAAGGTCTGAATTGGTCTGTAATGAGGTGGGCACTGATAAGGGGTTGACAGGTTTGCTGGTTACTCGTGTAAACCAAAATAAAGGTCCTTTATGTCGTTCTAAGGTTACTACGTGGATTATAATTGCATCGTAGTTATTGTAAGTTGGCAGAGTCGTACATTATTATGCGCCAATGACTCTCGCGTACGACATGTGATGTCACACATTTATAAATCACCCGACGTTGCACACCCTGTGACGTTGCCACGTGCACCCCCACGAGGGGGTGGGGGGGGGGGTCCTTGCCTACCCCCCGTTGGGATCCCACTGGCTTAGGATGAGACCCTGAAAGGTCGAATCCGGCCTGGGGTTTATTTTGCTCAAACAAATCCCGCAGCTTGGTGTGGGCCTGGGAGAGCCACGAGGCATGTGGACTTCCCACACACATTGTGGTTGTGGGTTCAACACGAGGTCCCGGCAAGTCTGTGTACGTGTGTACTGTATGTTGAACTTCTTTCACGCCGTACGTAGCCAACCGTGCTAAACGAAGGAGGGGTGAGTGTGTGGGTGACTGTGTGAGTGACTATGTGAGTCGATGTGTGTACGTTGAACTTCTTTCGCACCGTACGTCGCCAACGGCGCTAATCAGAAGATAGGTGAGTGACTATGTGAGTGGGCGAGTGACTATGTGAGTGGGCGAGCGACTCTGTGAGTGGGCGAGTGACTATGTGAGTCGATGTGTGTACGTTGAACTTCTTTCGCACCGTACGTCGCCAACGGCGCTAATCAGAAGATAGGTGGGTGACTATGTGAGTGGGTGAGTGACTATGTGAGTGGGCGAGCGACTATGTGAGTGGGCGAGTGACTATGTGAGTCGATGTGTGTACGTTGAACTTCTTTCGCACCGCACGTAAACCAACCGTGCTAATTGGAGCGTGGCGAGACTGCACAGTACCTGTTCTGTATACGACTCGGCTCACAAATAGAAGGTTGCGGCTTCAAATCCGCCATCATCGATGATCAAGAACGTTCGCAATGCCACTCAGAATCGGGGTTGGAATGTGCGCTAATCATCTTCTGCCAGAGAGTTCTCTCCGACGTGGCCACTCTGAACCCCCCAGGAGATGAGCAAAGTGAAGCCTCGCTGTCTCTGAACATGGCCCATTGTGTACCCAGGCAGGCCCTCAGTGGTGTTTGGTGTTACTGTGGTGAAGGTTCCTCTGGCTCTTCAAGGGGCTGCGGTGCGACTCTTTGGTTGACGATCCCTGACTGTGGGAGTCCAGATTACCATGGGAGTCTAGTTTACCGTGAGAGTCCAGATTACCATGGGAGTCCAGATTACCGTGGGATTTCAGATTACCATGGGGGTCCAGATTACCATGGGAGTCCGGTTTACCGTGGGAGTCCAGATTACCGTGGGAGTCCAGATTACCATGGGAGTCCAGATTACCGTGGGAGTCCGGATTACCATGGGACTCCAGATTACTGTGGGAGTCCAGATTACCATGGGAGTCCGGTTTACCGTGGGAGTCCAGATTACCATGGGAGTCCAGATTACCATGGGAGTCCAGATTACCGTGGGAGTCCAGATTACCGTGGGAGTCCAGATTACCATGGGAGTCCAGATTACCATGGGAGTCCAGATTACTATGGGAGTCCAGATTACCATGGGAGTCCAGATTACCATGGGGGTCCAGATTACCATGGGAGTCCAGATTACCGTGGGAGTCCGGTTTACCGTGAGAGTCCAGATTACCATGGGAGTCCAGATTACCGTGGGAGTCCAGATTACCGTGGGAGTCCGGTTTACCATGGGAGTCCAGTTTACCGTGGGAGTCCAGATTACCGTGGGAGTCCAGTTTACCGTGGGAGTCCGGTTTACCGTGGGAGTCCAGTTTACCGTGGGCAGGGGTCGGCAACCAGCGGTTCCGGAGCCGCATGCGGCTCTTTAAGGACTGGCTACGTGAGCGTCATTATGAAGGACCCCGCCGTCTCTCGTATTCACCGCAGTACATTGCGGCGCCCGTCAAATATCGAGTGTTTTTAGTTGTTTTGTTTTACCAAATTCGAACAAAAAATGTCTCTTCTTGTCGTTTTGGTTGCCGACACGACCCCCACAAATAGCCAGCGATAGACGCCCAGACGCAGGGCTTGAACCTAGGATCTCAAGAGTTGCTGGCTCAATTGTCTCTATCTCAAGGGGGGGGGGGGGGGAGGGGGTCTATAACCCTTCCTCCTCTGCGATGCGACGCTTCCACTCTCGTAAACAAGCCGCGCCGGGCCCGTGCCGAGCTCGGCACAACTTAAGGGGTCGTTTTTTTTTCTTCCCACTAGCAGAACCCGTGCCCGTGTGTGGGCAGACCTTCACGCTGGCTCAGCCCAGATCTGCCAGCGTGGGGGGGGGGGGAGCAAAGTTGGGGAATGAATGAGAGACTCAGCCCAGACCCCGGGATGGGACTCGAACCAGGAGGGCCATAGTAGGCGCCAGTGGAGCGCGGGGCCCCTTACCATCTTGAGCATGTTGGTGGGGAGCGGCGTCACGTTGGCGCGCAGCTCGTTGTGCAGCCTCACGATGTCCAGCTGCACGTCCGGCAAGTTCGTGTCCAGCTGCTCGATCGTCTGCAGCTCGTAGGCGCCCGCCAGGACGATCATCGCGGCCACCAGCGCCGACGCGGCGTTCCGCGCGCTGACGGCGGACAAGGCGGCGTCAGCCCTCGCGAGCATCATCACCGTCGTGACCATCGACGGACGAGTTTCATTGAACACGCAGTAGTAGTAAGTCAGCTTTCGCGACCAATATCCATAATGGGAGGGGGGGGGTGTCTGGTGTTGTTTGTGGGTTAGATCGCGTCAGTATATAAGTGTGTCTGTCGTAAAGCCGCCACCATCCGACACAGTCAGTCGGCAAGGTTTGTCACGGAAACAAAACGTGCTCAATTAGTTACCAGTTCAGCACTAGCCGGCTGTGCGTTGGAGAGTCAACCCACGACAACATTTACAATTACAATGTAGTGTATAGTGCAGTGTATAGTAGTGTAGTGTATAGTGTAGTGTATAGTAGTGTAGTGTATAGTGTAGTGTATAGTAATGTAGTGTATAGTAATGTAGTGTATAGTGTAGTGTATAGTGTAGTGTATAGTGTAGTGTGTAGTGTATAGTGTAGTGTATAGTAGTTTAGTGTATAGTGTAGTGTATAGTGTAGTGTATAGTAGTGTAGTGTATAATGTAGTGTATAGTAGTGAAGTGTATAGTGTAGTGTATAGTGTAGTGTATAGTAGTGTAGTGTATAGTGTAGTGTATAGTAGTGTAGTGTATAGTGTAGCATACTAGTTCAGCACTAGCCGGCTGTGTGTTGGAGAGTAAACTCACAACATTTTACAATTCGAGCACCGTGACATTTGGCTGGTGATTACAATGTCTGGCTGTCGCCTGATGAAGCTTGTTTCTAAACACTGGCGAAACGACAGAGTACTCAAATAGTACATGTTGTAGTGGGTTTACTCTCCAACACACAACCAGTGTGCTGAACTCGTAAGTGATGGCACGTTTTGTTAACGTGACAAACTTTACTAATTGGCTGTGTTGGGTGGTGGCGGATTTAACGACACAGTTATATTTCATGCGATCTCACCCAAACAAAACACTCATAGATCAAATTTTGATTTAAAGCTTTCGTGACTGCAGTAATTCATATTCTTAATTAATGCAAACCGACACACCTGATGACGACCGTTTGTATCATGGTCGAAACGTCGTGAGAATTTTTATTGTTTATATATTTTATTATTTTATTGTTTCCCTTCAACGTGACTTTACCGAAAGAGCTAAGAATACTCATAGATCAGTTTAAGTTGACATCATCATTATAAACGTATCACTGTGAACATGTCATCAATATCTTCATAATCACGAGCAGCAGCATCTACTTAGAATAAGGTCAAGGTTAGGCTAAGGGAAGCCACGGTGGTGTGATGTCATTTACCTCGCCTGGTACACAAGAGGTCGTGGGTTCAATCCCGATCCTGACGCCTGCTGCTGCTGTATATTTGAAGTTTGCGTCTCTCTCTCTCATCATCACGGTGGCTAGGAGATGTTAACTACCTCGCCTGATATACAGAAGGTCATGGGTTAAATCCCGACCCTGACGCCTGCTGCTGTATATTTTAAGTTTGCGTGTCTCTCTCTCTCTCTCATCATCATCACAGTGGCTAGGAGATGTTAACTCCCTCGCCTGGTATACAGGAGGTCGTGGGTTCAATCCAGACCCTGACGCCTGCTGCTGCTGTATATTTGAAGTTTGCGTGTCTCTCTCTCCGTGGTCGCGTTGGTTTTTTCTTTTATTTCTCCGGTTTTTCCCCTCCACATTTATAAGCATGCACTGAGATTATCGAGATCAGGGGTCCCCAACCCCCGGTCCGCGGACCGGTATCGGTCCGTAGCCTGTTAGGAACCGGGCCGCACAGCAGCAGGAGGTGAGAGCGGTGAGTCCGCACGTGGCCCGCCCCCCATTGTTTTATTATTGACCACTTCCGTCCGCGCCTCTTTCCCGCACTGCGCGCTTGTCTCAGTCACAGTGTTGGTATAAAGCCCACAAGCTAACCCCTAGTAGCCACAATGAGTAAAAAAACAAACGTCGCTGAAGAACTTCTTTGAAAAGGGGGAAAGACCCAATGATGACCGCCCCCCCCCCCCCCCCACCGGGTCCGTGAAAAAATTGTCTTCCACGAAACCAGTCCCTGGTGCCAAACAGGTTGAGGACCGCTGATCGAGATGCTATAAATGTTCAAATGATGGGCTACTTTGTTGAGCTATCATTTGTGATGGCCAGGTCGCTTCTGAAAAACAAGTTAATACCTCGGTGGGCTTTGCCTGGTAGGATGGGGATGGTTTAGTCTTGTATTTGTTTGCGTTTATTTGTTCTTTTTCGTACTGTTTGTTGTTGTGACGTTCTTACCCGCCTCTACTGGACATCTGTGAAAAAGTGATTTTTGGCTCATCGGATTCCTCCAGTATAAATAACTAACGACTCTGCTTCTGACTCTGAACCTGTAACCCTGCAAATTCTTTCCGGAGAAAGGGGCCCCCACTCGTGGCCGCTCTCGGGAGCCCCTCGAGTGGAGGGGCTTTGTCCTCCCTCTCCCACGCTGGTCCTGGCAACATTGTGAGAGGTGGCAGTTCCCCCACACATCATCCCGCCGTACGCGACCTGCCCATCGGCTGGCTGGCGAACTCCCCTACGGCTTGCCGATTGCTTGTGTTGTTCAAACATTTTTGTTCTACGTGACTTTACCGAAGGACCCAAAGAATATGAATTTCTGCAGTCAGGAAAGCTTTAAGTCAAGACGTAATTCAAGTAAATAAAATAAAAACTACGAAGTTTCCTCCAGAAGATGATCGCTTGTGTTGTGATCGAAACGTCGTAGTTTTTATTTAATTTACTTTTATTGTTATTTTTTCTATCTACGTGACTTTACTGAAAGTACCAAATAATATGAATTCCTGCAGTCACGAAAGTTTCAAGTCAAAATGTAATGACGATTTTGACTTCCGTTTATGCGGGACCCCGGGGTCCCGCCATGAGGTCCACATGTCCACGTGACAAGGCCACTTGGCTGTCACGTGTGGCCAGGTCGCTGCTGAGAGAATAGCGACATCGTCTCGGTGGGTCGTACCTGGTCAAATAAAACTTAGTTTAAGTCCTAACTCAGAAGGGTTTTTTTTTTTAGTGACACCGAGAGAGACGGAGAGAGGAACGCGAGGATTCAACAACGACATCGCCCACGAAGAGGAGTCAGTTGGGACGTGGGCACGACGCCTCCAAGTGTATCACCACGCAGGAGGAGATGGAGCGATAGAATCGGCCAAAATGCAGGTAGCTAGATGGATGGATTGTTGTGTTGATGGTGGTGATGATGATAAAAATAGGGTTTACCCTTTCTATACTCTTTGGTTCTATTGGGTAAAGTCACGTAAAAAGTCACATAGAACCAAAGAGAATGGATCCTAGCAGTCACGAAAGCTTTAAATCTAGAATTTACCCTTTCTGTCAATACAACTGTTGTGTTACGTTGTTAAAACATAAAACAGAAACATTTTGCAAGGAATACAGTCTGCATTTACCACATATACTTGGGGTGAACATGCAAACAAAAAAAACGTGCTCTGGTAGTATATGTTGATTCATTGTCTTTGATACTGATTAGTCCACACCAGAGACAGCTTTCTGTAGAGCCGAGTCTCAAACAGTGTCAGAGGACGCTAACAGGCGAACAGCACAAAGACAATGCCACTATCAGGGCATTGAGAGCTCAGGGTGAACAGCGATTATAAGAATATACTACTAGAGCACGGTTTTTATTTGCACGTTCACCACAAGTGTTTCACGCGGACACGATTCCATGCAAAAATGTTTCTGTTTTGATGTTATAACATCTGAACACAACTGTTTTATTGCCAGGAAAGGGGTAAAACGTATTCTTATATTTTGATAGTGGCAAGGGAGGTCCCATGATGGTGGTGATGATAATTACTTACGTGGTCATGTTGACAGGCCAGGTGATCAGGAGTCTGCTGTAAATGCACCACGGGGTAGCAAGCAAACCCTTTATATCACCCACCGCCGCATGCGGTGACGCCACAATAATTTTGCCAATGTGGCAGCAGTCTCCGAAAATTGTTTTTAAAAAAATTACCCTGACCAGCAGAAATCCTCAGAGTCGCGCCTATGTGCTCACAATAAACACACACGCAGCCGTCATGCTAATGCCGCACTTTCTGCGCCGCCCGGGGCTTCCCAGGATGTTCGTCGATCTGTTTACATTCATCACGCGGTGACAAGTTGGTATTTTCAAAATGAGTTTCAATGCAGCTCAGCTCGAAGTATAATTTTCTTTTAATGGAAGATAAATGATGGGGGTTTTTTTTAGTTTCGACGTATTTTTGTGAACCGTTTGCGAAATTAAATTTTGTTGTTACACCACCACCATCATCATCAATCAGCCATGGTCAATCCACTGGCGGATGAAGGCCTTGCCCAAGCCGCCACCTCTCACGATCCCGTGACGATGCAACGATCCGCACGGGGGAGCGGCTGATTGTCACGGCTCCGTCTCCTCCCTGGCTCTACGTCCTCACGGACGCGTTCCGTGCCTTGGCCGCCGCTCCGCTGTCGTTCTTAACCACCGGAGGTCGTGGCTTCGATCCTGACCCTGACGCCTGCTGCTGCTGTATATTTGGAGTTTGCGTGTCTCTCTCTCTGATCAACATCACGGTGGCTAGGAGATGTTAACTACCTCGCCTGGTATACAGGAGTTTGGGGTTCGATCCCGACCCTGACGCCTGCTGCTGTATATTTGGAGTTTGCGTGTCTCTCTCTCTCTGATCAACATCATGGTGGCTAGGAGATGTTAACTACCTCGCCTGGTATACAGGAATTTGGGGTTCGATCCCGACCCTGACGCCTGCTGCTGTATATTTGAAGTTTGCATCTCTCTCTCTCCCCGTGGTCGCGTGGATGTTGATGTCGAGCTGCTGCTGCTGCTGATGTTGATGTCGAGCTGCTGATGTTGATGTCGAGCAGCAGCTGCGATTCTACATCGAGGCAGCAGGAGGAGGAGGAGGTTGGTCGATGTGCACAGATGACTGCGGCGCCAGGAGTGTGGCGGAGTGGTTAATAGTCGTCGCTGCTGATGTGATGATGCCTCCTGCCTACCTCGTGTTTGTGAATCCGGCATCGAGGGTCACCCTATGTTGCAAGGTTCTGGCTGCTCTGGGTGGTGACCGCAGCCGCTTGAAGCAGTGACTGCAGACAATTGTGGGAGCTTTCTTGCCACTATCAAAATATAACAATCGGTTTTACCCTTTCTGGCAATAAAACAGTTGTGTCAAGATGTTAAAACACCAAACAGAATCATTTTTCAAGGAATCCTGTCTGCATTAACCACACACAGGACTTGTGGTAAATATGCAAACACAAAACATATTCTGATAAAATCTGATGCATTGTCTTAGATGCTGATTGGTCCACACCAGAGACAGCTTGTTTCAAAGACAATGCATAATTTATTGACAGCATGTTTTTTGTTTGCATGTTCACAATAAGCACTGTGTGGTTAAAGCAGATAGGATTTCTTGAAAAAGGATTCTGTTTGGTGTTTTAACATCTTAACACAAATGTTTTATTGCCAGAATGGATTAAACCCATCCTTATATTTTGATACTCGCAAAGAAAGGTCCCATAACCGTCGACAGTCACTGTTACAAGAGGCTGCGGTCACCACCCAGAGCAGCAAAACCTTGCAACACAGTACAGCGACTTGCAGAGTTTGCAAGAAAAAAATCCCATTGTTGCAACATCAACATCAGAGTTTCTGCGGCGGCGGCGGCGGCGGCAGCTGCTGCTGTCACCGCCACGGTTGATGCAGCAGATGGGGCTCAGGGGTTTATGGCCCAGACGGTTCGCGAGTAGATCGAAGCGAGTGGGAGAGCGGGGATGGGATGGGTTCGCGCGATGCGACAAATGCCCCCATTGCAGCCGCACGCCAAGAAGGACGCAATCGAAGATTCCGCAAAAAAAGTTCTCGCACGCCGCATGCCCGCCGTCATTCATCGACCTTAATGCGACACGTTGTCGTTGTTGTTGTTGTCCATCGTCGTTGTTGTTGTTGCGAGAGCAATGTCTCTTGAGACGTTCGGGCCAGGGAAAGAAGCTCCTGGGAGCGAGGTTTGTGGCAGCGAGGATGATTCATGGGCCCCACCTCCTCGGCTCGTGCTCATCGCTCGCAGCGGCGAAGGGTGTGGGGGGGTGGTTGAGGTCCCAGTAAATCATCGAGTGTCGTGTCGCTTGTCTCTGGGCGATGGGGAGACATTAAGGTGGTTGTTGTATTCGTGTGTTTTGTCACCAGGAGGTCTCAATGTCTGGGGTTCTTTTTTTATTTAAAGAAGCCGTGGCCATTATTGTATAAGTCAGCGAACATCGTTGTGCGGTGGGGCGGTTGGAACTCCCCCCCCCCCCCCCGGCGCGGTTTCAACTCCCCGGCGATGAATGATATTTTGCTTTGTTTGTCACGGGCGTTGGATGTCCGCGGCGTTTGTTGTTGTTGTGTTTTTGTTGTTGTTGTTTAGCGACGGAATCCTATGACGACGCTTTTCGGCAAGAACAAAAAACGTCTAAAGGACGCCGGATCGCAAAAAAAAACCTCGCAAACGGCGCGGATCCACGGGGTAACGATGAAACGCGGGCGTGGGGAGACATTCAGAGTGACGGGAAAGTTCTACAGCGCCTTCAGGTGGAGTCTCAAGATGATGATGATGCTGCAGCTGACGACGATGATCTCCAGAATTACCAAAAAATACGTGCAGAGTAGAGAGCCCATTCTGAGTGGTGACACCTTGACGGAGGAGATGCTAGAAGGAAGGATTGCTGATGATGATGCTGATGATGTGTGTAAGATGCTGATGATGATGTATGTATGATGATGTGTGTATGTCAATAATTATGTGTGTATGATGATGCTGATAATGTGTAACACAATGCTGATGATGTGTGTATGATGATGTGTGTATGTTGATAATGATGTGTGTATGATAACACTGTGTAACACATTAATTTTGTTCTTGGGTAGTAAGTGTTCTTTCCTAATTACTTATGCCTCAAACGTACAGAAAATGGCGATTATTCCCCACAAACTTGGCTTTTGTGACCAGGACAGTGATATTTTGAAATATACCTATTTTCCAGAACATTCCAGATAGCTTCAGTACTGAGAAACTTGGAGTAACTTATAGAACATTCTAGAACTTTCCAGTAATATAAATAGTATAAATACAGGGGCCTTAAGCCCACCAGTTCAGTTTAGTTCTAGCTGCCTAAGTGGATACATTTCTGCATTTTCTGAGATGGCATCAAGAGGCTGCAAGCATCCGGCAGACGCGTTTTGCTCTATCTGTGGCCAAATTATCAAGACAAGAGCGAAAAAGTACTCTGTGGAAGCATCTGCTAAGATGTGTGAGGCCTACAACAAGGCATATTTCGGCATGCCTGTCGGGGATCAAAACAAACCCTGGGCACCTCATTTCACCTGCGAGCAATGCAAAAAAACTCTGGAAGGTAAGATGGACAATTGTTGCTCGGAATTTTTAGGTTATAAAATTTGCTTTAAAAAATTAAAATTGTAAGTTTTTAATTTAAATTTTTTTACAATTTTCAATGCTATTGAAAAAATATATCAAAATGAAAAATGTTGCGAGAATCTCTTACACATTAGTCATGGGTGAAATAAATTTATTTTTGTAGGATGGTACAGAGGAGAAAAGAGAGCCATGAAGTTCGCTATCCAAATAATTTGGCAGGAACCCACTGACCACTCAAGCAACTGCTACTTCTGCATGGTGGATCCTTCCAAACGTCGGACTGGCAAGAATGCACCTGCTGTCACGTATCTGGACCTTCCTTCATCCATCGCCCCAGTGCCACACTGCCATGAGCTCCCCGTACCCACTCCTCCGGAGAGAAAGAGCAGCCGTCTTTAGAAGAGAGCAGCAAGTCAGAGAGCGAGGAAGACGTTGTAGATCCAGATGACAATTTCAGAGGTGGAGCTGAGGAGAGAAACCCATACTACCCAAACCAAAAAGACCTCAACGACTTGATCAGAGATCTTGGTCTCAGCAAGTCCGATGCTGAGTTTTGACGTCTCGGCTCAAGCAGTGGAACTTGTTGGATAAAAGTGTGAAGTCGCAGATCAGAGGAAGCATCACCAACCTTTTTGCAACTTCTTCACCCGTCAAGATGGGCTCTGCTTCTGCCACAATGTGACCAGTCTGTTCGAGGCAATCGGAATCGCCTGTAACCAGAATGAGTGGCGCCTCTTCATTGACAGCTCATCCAGGAGCCTCAAAAAGCTGTGCTGCTCCATAATGATAACAAGTACCCGTCTCTTCCCCTGGCTCACTCGGTGCACCTCAAAGATGATTACAACAGCATCAAGACCTTGCTGGACACCTTGAAGTATGATGAGTACGGCTGCGAGGTCATCGGAGACTTAAAAATGGTGGCATTCCTGATGGGTCTCCAAGGCGGTTTTACCAAGTTTCCCTGCTATTTTGCCTTTGGGACAACAGGGACACCAAGGCGCACTACCACAGACAGGACTGGCCACAGTGGACCGAGTTATCTGTGGGGAGGAACAACGTCAGGTGGGAGCCACTGGTGGACCTCCGGAAGGTGCTGATGCCACCACTGCACATCAAATTGGGCCTTATGAAACAATTTGTCAGAGCTGTAGATAAGGAGTCGGCAGCCTTCAAGAACCTTCAAGACTTCTTCCCTAAGCTGTCTGAGGCAAAGGTCAAAGCCGGTGTCTTCGTCGGACCACAGATAAAGAAGATCCTGGAGTGCAAGGAATTCCCCAAGAAGCTCACTAGTAAGGAGAAAGCAGCTCAGAACAGCTTTGTCACAGTGGTCCGTGGCTTGCTGGGCAATCACAAGGTCTAAAACTATGTGGAGCTGCTATCACGCCTCTACGGGGAGGGTTTCCACGTTACTTTGAGATCCTTCAACAAACTCCGGGATAAGAAGGCTCAGCTGATCGAGTCTCTCACCTTTCTGAAGAGATGCCGCGACTCTGGGGTAATACCAATCGCATTTACACTGACCTATGCTGCTGTAACTTCTTCTAATGCGAAACGAATTCTTTCCAGAACTAGCTTAGCTCTTATCTCAGAGAAAATCAGACTTATACGCACCGAACTAGATCAGTTAGACAAGACACTCTACAAATCACACTTATCATTGACGGCAAAAATGTCTACATCGGATTGGGAACATATAGACAATATGACTGCCTCTTCAGCTGCCACTATGTCGACCAAATGTAAGGACAACCTGATTTCCAAATTTAACCTCTCCAACAAAAGACCGGACCCACACACCAAAAAGCTCGACGTTAACAAAGTCGTAATTAATCGCAGTAACAGTTCTATTTCCGATGGTCTGAAATCCGTTTTAGCTAAAGGGCTAAACTTTGCAGTCACACCTAAACACATACCAGTTAATGATATCATTGCCCAAGTAGACGTGGCTCTCAAGGGCCTGGGTCACATCGCTGCAGACGTAGCAAGATCTGAAATCGCTGCAACCCTCAAAAACGCTAAGATGCCAGCTAGCAACCTCAGCAAAGATGAGCGTTTTGAATTATATAAATAAAAAAGAGGGATGACATTGTAATC